TTTGGATGTAAACTGGCTTTTGCGCTGGTTGAAGGGGCATCTCCGTGCTTACACCATGATCTTTTACGCTTAACATTATTGTACACAATCCATTTTTCATCACCTGTAATGATTCGCTTTAAAAATGGGTCGATTTCATTGCGCTTCAATAGAGAATCGCAAGCAGAAATTCGGTCTATCAAATTTTTTTCTGTTAACTCATACGGCACCCATACATCGGCCTTGCTAACCATTCCAAGTTGATGTAATCGCCTTGATACTGTTGACTGATTGATTCCAAGAATTTCTCCAATCTCTCGAGTTGTTTTGTGTCGATCACTTTCAATTAGTGCCAATATTTTGTCATCATCAGCCTCGGCTGGTCGTCCAGAACGTGGTGCATCGCTAAGGTTAAAATTGCTTTCACGAAACTTTCTAAACCACTTACGGCACGTGGAATCATCAATGGCTCCCTCACCATACACAGAACATATCTTTTTTTGTGTCTGCGAAGCATTCTTGCCTTTTCAGAAATAAAAAAGCATAATATGTCGAAAATGCTCCTTATTTTCATTTGTAATGCTTAACATAATTTTAAAAACACAACTAAGTAAGACAACTTTATTCTCAAATACTAGCTGAGATCCCTTTTGTCAAACAACGTCAAAATTTTACGCATGTGAAAGAAATAACACTTCAGTGTTGTGCTTTTAGCCTACTGGTGCTAAAAAGCGGGACGAACTTTTGCATCAACCCATAGAAGCATTTGTAATCGAGTATAATTTATAACTTATATGTGTTTCAGATATGTAACCTTACACCATCAATCATTGGGTGCTTTGTTTGCCTTCTTGTATTCTATTTGTGAATAAAATCCTAAATTTAAATAATTAAATAAAAGTTTATTGATGTAATTATTTGTTTCCAAGCTTTTTCTCTTTCAAAATTTTCTGCAGGCCATAGAAGTGGGTATTTACTTTCAGTTTATATATACAGTATATATATAGAGCATTGTATGAATAAAAGATAATTTCACATAAATCTTTAAAAAATTTTCCTTAAAATAGAATTTAAAAAAAAAAATTGTTTACAATACAATACGTTTGAGATTAAATTTTATTATAAAAAATTCGACTTTTTAAAATGTATTTATCAGAGATAATCGTAATATTTCATATTTAATGGTGTATTTATTTATAGATTACATTAATATAAAGCATTACTTGAAAATAAGTATTTATACTTTGCTATAAATGTAATCTTGGGAAAAAATGAATGACATGGATACATTTCGTGAGAATTGTTCTATAGAATAATACCAAGTTGATAACTTCATTATATTTTATCGTATTTGTTTGTCAACATCTTACTGTATCATACAATTCACTTCTTTGAATATATGGGTCAATAGAAAAATATTAACGGTTATGTACAATATTTATGAATCGAAACTCGAGTTAGGAACAAATAAATTATAAGTAAAAACAATAGAAACAATGACATAAATAACTTGCAATGATTGTTATTTACGTCACTCTTTCTATTGTTTTTATACCCTTTCAGCCTTTGTTCCCACTCAGGCACCTAACAGATCCATCTTTTCTCATGTATCTGATGAATACTGTTAAGGGTTGTTGAGGGTCAATTAATTAGTGCATTTTTGACTGGTAATTGATACAATACTTGAGTGTCTTTGTAGTTGTTTTATTTCAAATTATACAAGTCTAAAAAGTAAGTAAATTGACTTTAATATGTAAAGGTGACTGCCCCCATTCAAAGTAACCTTCATAGTTAGTCAGTTTTATATTCGATATACTTGAACAATTAGATAATTAGTTCATTAAATATCGTATATTATGATAATACAAACAATATAATTGCGATAGGAAAAAGTTTGTTTGTGGAACTCCCACAAAATAAATAAAAATATAAGATTGAAAGAAAACTAATATGTACTGTACTGTATATAAATGCTTTTTTTACTGATAATACATTTTATTGTATCGTCACTATTTTCGAATCACCAAATTACAATATTTAACACTAATTTCTTTTCAAATACACAACTAAAGAGACTTTCTTATCTACATTTTATCATTATATTCTGTATTATTATTGTTCTATCTTAAAAAAAAACAGGTTTTATATACGAATATTTTATATCCTTGAATATTTATCTTAATTTCTTATATTAATATTCTACCTTTATTTATTATTGGGCTGCAATTTGAAAATTGCAGATCTGTAAATTCTCACTGTCGTCCGTCTGTTTGTTCGTTATTCCTTCTTTAATCTCGGAGTTAGATAGATGTAAAATCCTTATATCACATATAATTAGTCGGGGTTACCCCTAAGTTTTCCATATTTGACCTCGACTTTCAACTAACTAATTTTATTCTCGAGATTAACGAAGGACAGTCAGACAGACAGTAAAAATTTATAGGTCTTCAATTTGAAAATTGCAGCACAATAATAATAATAATAATTTATATATCACTACTATACAACCAAACTTCTGAAGAAAACACAAGAAATGGCCGCCATTTACAGGTAGTCGTTAGTGCAGGTTCGACTGTATTTGTACATAAGATATGGCTTATTGACTTTTTTCTTTTTTCATTTGATCGTTGGTCTGATTTTAAATATAATAAATAAAAATTTGTATATATTTAATCAGATATAACAACTTACAAACTATTTTCCTCGTGTTTTTTTTTATTTTGTTTAATAAGGATAAATGTCCCAAATTTCGAAAGGGCACCAAATTAAATTACTTGTGCACTTCCTTCTTTAACCATACGCGAGAAAAAAAAAACCAATAATTTTTAATTTTCACGTTCTAATAATTAATTAATAAATAATTCTGGGGATAAAATAAAAATGATTGTAAATAATCAACAGTTTACAATTATTTAAGCCACTAGATATACAGTAAAAAACCGCTACTGATAGGGGTGAATGTTAGGAAAGCCCTTCTTAGAGGGGTGTAAAACGAGAGGGTGGATTCGGAGTGCAGTAATTTCTTACGATCATCTCTATATAGAGAAAATTTAAAATTTGATAACCCACTTTAACATCCCTTCCTCCTGGGCCCTGTGCCTGTACGTGCCTCTCTACGACACTGGTTTACTGTATACACTATACTACAAGGTCCCAAGAGGGAGAATAAGCAGGCACTTGCGCCCGATAGGATAAGGATTGTGATGATAATAAATTATTCTTACAAATTTTACCTAAATTTTCTATCATTTCGATAAATAAATATGAATTTTTCTTAATTTTTCTTCATTGTTAGAGGGTCCATGAACTTTCGTACATGTAATTAAAGGGGAGGAAGGTTTGCCAAAAGTACACGAGGGAGAACGGGGTTAAAACTGGTACATAAAGTGTATAAATAATTAAAGGAAGACCCCTATCATATAACATATAAATTGAAAGATAAATGCCGGTACGTAGCAAGAGATTATATTGATTATAGTCTTTAATTTATAAGGTAATGAAATAAAGAAAAAAAGAAAGCCACTCGAGAGATAACGAGAATTAATTATACAGAATAATATATTAAAAAATTAATAAATATCAATATCTGTTTTATAAAATAATAAGTTAATGATAGAAAGTAACAAGTCTTTTCACTAAAACACAATGGTACTGTACATAACAGGTTTTATCTTTCAATTTTGTGGACTAAAAGCCCACAAAATTGAAAGATAAAACCTGTTATGTACAAGTAGCTGCTAAGTAGTTATGTACAAGTAGTTATGTACAAGTAGTTATGTACAAGTATTTCCTAAGTAGCTTTCAATTTTGTAGGCTAAAAACCCACAAAATTGTGGGCTTTTAGCCTACAAAATTGACAGCTACTTAGGAAATACTTCATTATCTTCGAGTTATGTAGGATTTTAGCTCACAATACTGAAAGATAATTAGGGAATTCCTCTTTATTATCCAATTTTATGGGATTTTAGACCATAATATTAAAAGATAAAGAAGTATTCTTAATGAATGCGACGATTATTTTTTAGATAAAAAAAGTTTTATACGTTATTATAACTGTAATTCGATATCAGAGAGAGATGTAACAACGATTACTGAACTCATTCCCAAAGAAAAAGAAAGAATACCCACGCTTTTGATGCTAGAAATGAGATAAGGCAAGAAGTACTTTCCACTTAGTGAACGTTGAACTTGTGACCTATAAACTTTTACACGTAATAATGGCACATCCAACTTTTACATTATTTATTCTATTTATAGACAAAGTGTATAAATCATTACTTTCAAAAAAATAACACATCTAGCGATTAATAAATTTATATAATTTTGTAATTTTAACCGATTTCTAAACTATTAATTTGTAATTGTTATTTTAAAAAATCCAATAGTAATATCGAATTTTACAGTGAAAACTTGTTTTGTGACTTTTCGAATTACAAGTCACGTATATGGCTTATTTAGAGGAAAATTTTGTGAAGCGTGGAATTATCATTAACGTTAAAACCATAGAACACTGCGGTTGTGCTGCAGTTCACTACATCAATGATAGGATATACAACAATTTATGCTGATTTAATATGCTTATAAATTCTTATATCTAATTTAAATTTTGTATTAGTAAATATAATACTATAAACAATTTTTATTACAATTAATTTTACGAGCCTTCAGTTTAACAATCTAATTGGAATCTATGGTTTCTTGTAAGCAAAAAAATGAGAATATAATGCACTTATATTAGATTTCAAGAAGAGGAAATTAAGCTTTGTGAACTTCTTCTGTTGAAAGTTAAGGTTAAAAGGTAAGCTTAATTTATTACATAATTATACGTGATATTTATGTAGATTCTTCTTCTTCTATTGTGAGTTTATCTTATGTTAAAATGTAATTATTAATTGATTTTTTATTATAATTTCTAGATTAATACAAATATGTAGATTATTCTTCTTCTATTGTGAGTTTATCTTATGTTAAAATGTAATTATTAATTGATTTTTTATTATAATTTCTAGATTAATACAAACATGAAGTACGATTACATAAATAGATTTATTTCGGCAAAATTCAGGATATTAGGATTATACGTGGGAAGGCATCCGTTTATATTTATAATCGTTCCGCTAATAATTGCTAGTATATTGTCACTTGGATTGAAAAAATATCATCTGGTATACGATACAGAATATCTTTACTGTCCACGAAGTGGTAGAGCCATACGTGATAGAGAAGTTGCCGAAACTCTCTTCCCTCCGGATGAAAATAATTTCGATATAATGAAAATGATGCGGTTTGGAAGAATGGGAATGCTTCTAATGGAAGCTAAAGATGGAGGCTCGTTGTTAAGAGAAAATATACTAAAAGAAATTAAGAACATAGATAAAATTATTCAAAATATTACCGTGAATTACCATAATAAGACTTACCAATTTGAACAGTTGTGTTTAAGATCTGCTAATAGAAAATGCGTCGAAAATTATGTTCTTAGTTTAAGTGGAAAAATGGAAGATATTAAAAATAATAAATTTCGTATGAAGTAAGTAAAGTCTTTAAGGATTATTATATTATTTGTATAATTTAATTAAGTGTACAATTTTTGAGCCACTTTTTAATCTCCTCCTTTGTACTTTTGGCAAATCTACCATCCTTTATGGTCCTCCTGGCATTGAAGAAATGACTTTTTAACTGATAATTTATTTATTTAACTTATAAAAACAAAATTCCCATGCCATTAATAATATTAATATTAGAAAAAGTCTACGTTGACAACCTCGACCACTTCCCTCCCCTTAAACTGTACACATAACGAACGGTTTCTAACAGACCCTTATTGTAGAAAACAGTTAAAAATTTTACCAATTTAATTATAAAATTTTGTATAATTATAATTTGTTAGCAATATTTTATAATAATAATTTATTAACAAGAAGTAGTGTGTTTGTTAGAACACACACTACTTCTAGAAATCATGTCATAATTTAAAATTAAATTCATGTTTTAAAATAAGAGAATTTCCTTTAAAAATAGCGNAGACAGTAATATATTTTTGAAAATATACAAAGACTTTATAAACAGGGTATGAAAGAGAAAAATGACGACAGAATGTAGAGCATGTGTTAATAATCATGATATACTAGGAAAATACGTGACTTGTTTTTAATTTAAAATCTCCATTGAACTGTTTAAACTATACAGTATATATATATATATATATATAAACATACACACACGCACACTAAATGACTATTTATAATCCTCTTGTCAAATTCACTCACATATAAGTTTAATCTACCGAAAAAAAATATATATATATCCTACTCTTTTCAATCGTACAAAACGAAATTAATTGGGAATTTTTATAGGAAAACTTTATCCATGACAGCTGACGAATATCCAATTGATTGTAATACTTATCAAAACAAGAATATAAAATAGTAATTTACAGGAAAAGAATAGGATATAGTAACTTCCTTGTGTTATTTTAAGTGTATAATTATACGATAAATGCCATGGGATAAATATATTTTAGTTAACCGTATATAATGTAATTTAGTTGACACTTTAATTAAGATAAATAATACAATTAAATGTTTTTTTTTTTGTTTTTTAGATTTCCTTTCGAAGTGAAAAAGGAATCGAATAAACTTTTACTTTCGGTTGTAAATTTTGGTGGTGTGACGACTGACGAAAATGATTACATTTTGGAATCGAAAGCAATTAGACTTACTTATTTATTAAAATATACAACTAAAGAATGGAACGAAATATCATTAGAATGGGAAAGTAAATTTTTGGAAACTGTATCACGTTTAAAATCAAAACGTTTGAATTTTTATAAATTCATCGGTGGTACCTTCGATAACGAATTTCATAAAGCTACAGAAATGGTTCTGCCATTCGTTCTTTTCGTTGCACCATTAATGGCAGCATTTGCCGTTATAACGTCCATGACTAAAGATTGGGTTACAAGTAAACCTTGGATAGGAATTGCTGGATGTATATGCCCCATAATTGCTGGAATGGCTGCTTTTGGTTTGCTTCTTTTCTGTGGTGCTGAATACATCGATTTAAATATATCTATTATTTTTCTCCTATTAGGTAAGAAAAAGAATTTATTAATTTTTTTTATTTTCCGATTATATCGTATACTTTATATACTGTATTTTTTTATATACAGGTATAGGTTTGGACGATTCGTTTGTACTTTTAGCTGCCTGGAGAAGAACGGATTCTAACGATAGTGTTGAAAAAAGGATAAGTGATGCTTATTCCGAAGCTGCAACATCCATAACGATTACTTCTTTAACAAATTTTATATCATTTACTGTAGGGATGACAACACCTTATAAAGTGATACAGATTTTTTCTGTTTATGCAGCATTATCTATTCTTTTCGATTATCTTGTTCAAGTTACTCTTTTTGGAGGAATATTAGCCCTTAGTGGCTTCAGGGAACAGAATAAACTGCATTCACTCTTCTGCATTGGTGTAAACCCTACCAAGCATTACAGTAAGTCATATATACCTTATTTTAATTGTATAATTTACTAATTAGTAAAGATTTCATTGTACAGTACACAAAGAGCTCACATGAACAAAAAAGAAATCAAAAATTAAAAATATTAAGTGACAAGTTAAGTTCATATTTAATATTCTTTAAAGGAAATTTGAGCTATTTAAGCATCACATTTCTTCTAAAGTTAGATTGTCGACATTACAATTTGACTGCTGTCACCATTTGTATTATTTGTAAGATCTAGGTTGGTTATACTTGAACATAACTAAATATAATAACCCGAAGTAAATAAAGACACGATAAATAAAGTTATTTAAATGTCAAACTGCACAATCCATTATCATAGTTTAGTTTCTTTTTTTTTCTTTTATTCATTATTAACAGCGTTGAAGGAAGTTTACTATTGAACAATGCATTCATTATTTTCCCATTTCGATTTTCTCAAAATCTCTCATAATAGATGTAATAACAATTAATTAGTTGTCAATTACATTACTGTGTGGCAACTAAAGTAATTAACATTTTATATTTGAAAGCTCGTGTCTTGTGTTTATCTATTCATCTATTCAATACTTTTTCTATTCGATTTTCCCACAGAAAAAGCATTGATTTTTAACGCTCTAATGGCGATTGTGTGCATAAACAATTATCTTTCAACATATCGACAGCATTTCTTATATAAAACAAGCTTATAGTTACCTAATTTTATTTTATTTGTCATTAAAAAGGGTTTTTTATTCCTGTATTCTGTTAAAATACATGCGAAAGGAATTGCATATTATGAGATACTCACAATAATAACTTTTTAACAGTTAAATATAATTTAGGGGAGATCGGGGCAACTTCGGCATGCGGGGCAAGTTTGTCAAGCGCTTTTTTTTAAAAACAAATTAAAAAAAACTTTGATTATAGGTTAGGCAGTTGAGTTTCATTGGTGGCTTGTTGAGTGTAGTGTTTTTATTGTTTTCCAACAAGCGTAGTTGAATTATCAAGCAAATTTTCATTTTCGTTGAATTCCATATAATATTTTTTTCCATTTATATTGAATTGGCAGGTTTTGTTATAATTCCATGATAACGAAAGTTACTTTTCCTGTTAGAATGATGTAACTTCAACTTATTCACGTGGCCAGATCATGGCTTGGCATTCTGTTCTCAGGGTTGTACTTAATGTTTCGAAATCATGACTAGCGGGGTAAGATCGGCAACATAAAGCCACATTAGAGGCAAAGGATAAAAATCAAACAGATGATAAATGAAAACATGTTTGCATTTGTTATTCATGTATATATGTCTTTGAACTTGCATTTCGTTGTAATAATATTAAATGGGTGTTGGATTTGTATTTCTTTGTTTTAATAGTGAATTCCAACTTATACATTGTTAATAACATAATTTTATATACGTGCCTATCTTACCCCATTACTGTTGCCCCTATACCAGGGGCAACTTTAATAAAAATAATTAAAATAATTACAACTTTACAAAAAAAGAGAAGTTGCCGATGTTGCCCCTATACCCGGGGCAACTTCGTCAATTTCTCTCTTTTTGTAAAGTTGTAATTATTTTAATTATTTTTATGTCCAAACTGATTTTAACCAGATGTATAGTAAGGTAACATTCCAATAGACAATATGCAAAAGGTTTTTTTTCAGTTTACAGCAGTATTTATTACACAAAATTTAAGTAAAGCTTAACATGCCGATCTTGCCCCGATCTCCCCTAATACTAATTGGAGTGCATAAAAAGTGTATGGTATCACACTATGATATAAAAGCATTAAAATCCTTTATTTAATTGTTAGCAATTGTATATAGTATGAGGGCTGTATCTAAACGAATGCAAAAGTGAGAATGACATTTTTATTTGCTGATATAAGTAATTCAAATTTCACTTGTTAGTAGAGTAACTCTTCCTCTATACATCAACTTAGTCTCTACTATAGACAATGCATTTGTACTATGGTTGAAAACCTCCTTGAGAAACTTCAGGTGCTCACTGTTGTGCTCACTTCTTCACAGCCACACTTTCATTGTCTCCTCCTAAAGACTGATCTTTATTGGACCAAACAGGTGGAAGTCCAAGGGCACCGGATTAGGGCTTTACGATAGATGAGGATCAGATAATGGCACAGACGAGTTGAAAGTGGCTGTGAAGAAGCGGGTACGACAGTGCACACCTAAATTTTTCAAAGAGAATCTGGGTTATATTCACTTTTGCATTATTTAGGTACAACTCACGTAATTAAATACAATAATTAAAATACATTTATCTTTCAGAAAACGCATTGCATCGATTTCTACATGTCGGTTTGATTAAAGAAAGTGCAGATCTCGAAGACAGTAATATATTTTTGAAAATATACAAAGACTTTATTGGAAAAGCACTGACACAGCCATCCGTAAAATTAATGGTTATATTATTTTTTATAATATATATTTCTGGAGCCATATATTGTTTAGGAATTCTCAAACAAGGTTTCGACTACAGAATTGCAGTTCCTAAAAATTCCTACTCGTTCGATTTCATTACTAAGCATTATCAATATTTTGTTCAGTATCCTCACGGTATACAAGTCATTATTAACCAAACATTGGATTATTCTGATCCACAAGTACAAAAAGATGTTACTGAAATAGTTCGTAAATTTTCGACTGCTCCTTACATGGCTGGACAAGATATGGTAGATTCGTGGCTTAAATTATATTTATTATCATTAAATGATACAAAACTCTGGCTATCGTATAGAGGATACGATATGACGAAATCAGAAGATTTTCTTAAGGGTTTTGTTGATGTTTTTCTTAAAATTCCTTATTATAGAAGATACAGAAATGATGTCGTGTTTAATAAAAATATGACCCAAATTATTGCATCTAGATATTTAGTTGCCAGTAAAGATATCAACGATTTTGATTTGGAACGTCAAATGTTAACCAAATTATGGGAATTAGCTGATTCTTGTAAGTATCCTGTATATGTACATAACTACTGGTTTGCCATTCTAAATCAGCATATAAATATTAAAGAAAGTTCAGTACAAGCAATATTAATTGCTGCTCTAACTGTAACTGTGATGTTTTTTCTGTTTGTACCACATTTACTATGTGCTGTTTGCGTGGCTCTAACTATTGCTTCGGTATTGATCGGAGTGATCGGTTATATGTCGTTACTGGGTATTAATTTGGATACTGTATCTATGTTAATTCTCATAATGGCTACTGGTTTATCTGTAGATTATGCTGCTCATATATCTTACGCTTATATTACAGCCAAACAGAAAAATCCAAACGAGAAAACAAAGAGAGCTCTAGAGGTAGCTGGTCATCCTATTTTTCAAGGGTGTATAACATCTATTGTTGCAGTTGCCATTCTTGGACTTGGACCTTCGTATTCTTTTATTATCGTTTTTAAAATTGTAACATTGCAAATGGTGTTCGCGTTTTTGCACGGTATATTTTTGCTACCTGTATTGTTAAATGTATTGGAAAGTTTCATTTTATGTTTGACCAGAAAATTTCCCGAAGAAGAAGAAGAGCATTCAGAATGCGATGTTGAAAATAAAGAAGCCATAAACTTTCTTATGAAAGGAGAAGAATCCGTAACAACAGACTGTAATAATTAACATACCTGGGATTGATTTAGTCATTAAAACATACACTGACAAATTATTATATGTTATATAGTAAGAAAAAAATTAATAATATTAATTAATTTATTTATAGAAGTGCAAATTGTATTGTGATCATTTCAAACACTTGAAACTAATATTAAATAAAAGGCTTTCATATGAAGTATTTTATGTGTAGTTATTACATATAATTTGGAATAATTATATGTAAATTAAATATCACTTTGGCTACAATATAATTACAAATAATTGTAAAATAATTACTATTAATGTTTCCAGTTGGTGTTACAGTTAAAAACGACATTTTATTTAACCTGTAAACAACGGCCACCTCCGAAGAACGGCCATTTTTTAATGTTTTCCCTTTTCCCATTGGCTGTTGTTCGAAGAAATATGTATTTAATACACAAATATAAAACGTTACATAATAAATTACTTCACAGTCAATTGATTAAGTAATACTAACGGTAAATATTTCACGATACTTTCAGTTTAAATTATTCAAATAAACGAGAAGAAACATTTGGATATTCACATAATTCCGATGATAGATTGATATCTTTATTCTTAGTTTTTCGCCATAAAGAGAATAAATTATCAAGAAAAGATAGAATTACAGGTATTATAAATAAACCAAGAAACAATGCAGAAAACATTATAAGGAAAAATATTTTTAATAAATCGTTAAAAACGGGATAAGGACTGTTAATAAATATAATAAACGGAGAAATTGTGGAAATACATCCCTTTACGATTGCACTCCCAGCGGAATGAAGCGAATCCTTTATTTTTTCATTAGAATCCGTTTGTTTAGAACTTGCGTACGCGTAAGAAATATGAGTGGAATAATCTGTACAGAATCCAGCAAGAAATATCAAAACAATCTGTGATACTCCATTAATACTTATTCCCCACGCGGACATATAACCGATGGTAATTACCTCAATCGATGCTATTGTAAAACCTATACAAATGGCGCAAAATAAATTCGGTATGGTTATAACAAACACAAGAATCACCAGACAAGAACTAGCAATTATTGATTGTTTAAGTATTACTGGAGATATAAATAACATATCGAAATATGTAAATCGATAATTGAAAGGTCTTGCGGGTATATCCGATTTTTTTGTTAATTGTACCATGTTGTAAAACACTTCTTTTTCTTTATCCGTATTGTCGACTAAATCGGTGAGAATTAAAAATCTGGAACCTAATATTCTCTTGCCATCATCACTGAATTTGATGTCATTATTAAACGATTTAGCCCATGTAATTTTCAAGAAAATATTACGAAGTACTGTTACAAAATCATCAGGGTTACTCGTATTATAACCTCTTAAAGATATCCAAGAATATGGATTCTGTATAAAATGAAGATACATTCTAAGCCATGATTCCGTATAATTTTGTCCAGCCATATGCGGGGAATTTTCTAATTGATTTGTTAATTTTTCAATCTTCTTCTGTATATTCAAATCTGAATAATCTAATGGTTTATCGATCAATATGTGAATTCTGTCTCGGAATTTCGAAAAATATTTAACGTCGTCACGAAAAAAGTCATGAATATAGGAAGTTTTGCGGAATGCAAATAAGTAATCCGTAGACGAGTGTGCATATTTTAGAAAATATATTCCTCCGGTAAGATATATTATAAATAGTAATATGACAAAACATTTAACTGTTGGAAAAGTCAATAACTTTCCTAATTTATCTCTGTAAAAATATGTCTCAGTTTTATCGTCTTCTCCATCATTTGAAGATGATTTTGCTGTTAAACATCCGAGAAAACCTGTGAAAGAAAGTAATGTATAATAAGTGTGATAACTATTATACATTATACAGGATAATTCCAAACTATGGGATAAGTTTCAGAAATGGATTTCTAGCAGGATAAAGAAGTATAGTGATCCTATTAATTCTCTAGTGCTGAGACAGGATGACACCATTAGTATCATGAACACACCCACAAGATACAACAATACGGCATAAATACATTTCTTCCGGCAAAAATCACAGTATCCTTTATGAGTCTCAATATGTTACATCACTGTATCCATGGTACAATTGTGAGGTCTTCTGATATTACCCATTCACTTTTCTGTATGTAAATAACTTTTTCACCTGTTCCTGATAAGAATATTGTGTCATTCTCCACTATCCCATACACTTATATCATAGACCTCTTCTGCAGACAGACAGCATATTGCATACTTCCACTTTCACTGTTAGGTTGCTGATAAGCAGATCTGATGTTTTAATGCCCATTGGTCTCATCCATCTCTGGTGCATTTCTGGACTTATACAGTTCTTTTTCCTTCCAGGAATCCACTAATCAAAGGTTTGTTTCCGTTGTTTGGAATCATCCTGTATAAATGGTAAAAAGTTGTTATACTTATTCGTAAAGTTTAATTAATCAGGATCGTTGATAGATTTCATCAATCAAGTTGGTAAATTCTTGGGATTATTTATGTGTACAATGTTGACGTATATTCTTAATTAATATATACAAAGAATATACAGTATACAACATACAGTCTACGTAATTGAAATTAACAGGAAAGTCCTAATACCTGATTTCGACGTAACAGGCATGCAAAGAAATGCATGCAAGTTCTTGGCCTCCCTGTAACCGCTGATTGCAAGACAACCTCCAAAAAATGTTATCTGGTAGACGTAGTCCATAGCTAAACTTAAAGCCAAATAGATGCTGATAATTTGAATTATCCTAACAGGAATATTTATCCCAATCAGCGCACATATTGTATTCGTCAACGAAGTAATTGTAATTGACACAGCAGCTTCGGAGTATGCCTCACTTATTCTTTTTTCGACACTGTCTTTTGGATCAGTTTTTCTCCAAGCAGAGACTAAGACAAATGAGTCGTCTAATCCGATTCCTATAAAATGAAATTAAATTAAAATTGTAATTTCAATTAAGCATTAATTGTTTGTATTAAAATGTTTTAATACAAACCTAAAACTACAAATAGAACAATTATAGTCAATTCGACGAATTCCATTCCGCAAAGAAGTAGAATGCCAAATGCTGATATTACTCCTAACGTGGATGAAATGCAAGCAGAGATTCCAATTAACGGTTTACTCCTTACACAATCCATTGAAAGACAGGATAAACTTGCGAGTATTATCAATATAACTCCACTGATTAAAACGTAGATTTTCATGTGTTTGATCATTCTTGATTCGATATTCATACTAACACTACACATTTTTGACAATTGAACGTGAACGAATGATACACGAGAAACATAATTTATTATTTCCTCTTCCCATCTTTCTGAGATTTGTTTCTTCGTAGAATCGCTGTTATCTACGAAATATGCCAAACGAATTGCTTTAAAATTCTCTACGAAATAGTCTTTATCCGTTAATACACCACCCAATTGTATGGCATCCGTATTGATACTTGATGAACCTATTGTCAGTGGATATCTGTCATAAACGTAATTTTTATTTATTGTAAAAACATTATTATATATTAATTTTATCATTTTTCTAGAATTAAAAGTTTCCAAAAAGTAATGTTAAATTTACACATTGTTTTAGTAAGTGTGAGTATTCAAAATTAAGATTTGTTGTTAAATTATATCTATAAACTTTATTTGTAGATAAATTTATTCAGATTTAACATTACTGTAATATATAATTTAGGCTAAATAAATGCAGTAAATTATTTTGTTTATTATTCTTTAGCATATTCCTAATTAATTTCTAACACTAGATAAAACCACTGAACACTTGGTGGGCCCACCAGTGGCCAAGCTGTCTTCGTACCCTGAACACTGAGAGTTCGATCGTGCATTCGTCAAAATAGATTGCGTTTTCCAGTTTTCTCCACGTCTGTAACACCTGAATAGGTGCCAGTTACCAGAGTCGGTACAATAACTGGTCTTTCGACTACGTATCTTCGGTCGTTGCTAAAATCAACTAGAGACAAATGTTACCACCAAGGGCATTGCAATCACTTCAAGAGCGCTAGATCGAATCGCTGTGAGGTCGAATGTTTTCTTTTTATTGAAAGATATATAACCTTCGAGTTCGATTTCATAATTTTCTATATGAATTTTATTATAAGAATGAAAAAGCTTTTATTTAAACCCAAAACCAGGTTTATGGATAAATAAATGACACTTAATAAAACATTAAACACCTTCCATCGCTGAGAAATGTTTATTTAATAAAACACTAACATTTTCAGCCTCATGGAATAAACTATCCTCAGGTGTAAATGAGTTCGAACGTATTTTATTAAATAAACATTTCTCAGCGATGGAAGGTGTTTAATGCTTTATTAAGTGTTTTAAAAACGCTGATTTTATATTTAGTTAAATAAATGACAAGGAACAAAACTGACACAATAGTATTATTATTATTAAATTGTGCTATTATGTGAATTTATTATACGTTAAAAATTTATTGTACATACAAACAAATTATATTATACATATTAATAATAATAATAATTATTATTATTTGCGTTATTAAAATTTACTTTAAGTGAGAAATTTTTCTATGTTTTTTACTTTCAACTGATGAAATAAATGATTGATTAATCGTTCGCGTGAAAAAATGCAATCGACAGGTAACAAAAAAGTGCAAAAATCTGGAAGTCAAGTAGGACTTGTGTCCAGCATTTGTCACATCCTATCATCGATGTAACAGAACACTGATTTAATATAATATCCATTATTGAAAAATAAACATCTGTGTTTGAGTTTGTTAATTTTTCACATACTTTGCTTTCTGCCCAGTACATCAATTGGCAAAGCTTATAGCCATGGGCGTAGCGAGGGGGGAGCCTGGGTGGGCACGGCCCCTCCCAGGGAACCTGGTGCCCCCCAGGAAATCACAGCCGAAAAAGTGTTGAGTCGATTTGTAAACACCTAAAGCTAAAATAAAAGTTTTGAATACTAAAAAAAAGGTGAACGGCTTGCTCGGTGCCCAATAATGAACAATAATTTGAAATAATTCAATTTTGTGTCAGGTTGGCCTCCACTAGGCCCCCCATAACAAAACTCTGGCTACACCCATGCTTATAGCTCGGATATAACAAATCTCCTCGAGATTTGATGAATGTAAATGTCTTCTCTGGTGCAGCATCTTCGGGTTTTGCTGTTAATATATTTTTGCATTCGTCACAACCGAGAGATGGCAGTAGATGATAAAAAATGTAACCTCCTAAATAATGTAGAATAAACTTAAATGTTTCTGGTGCACAATAACCGTGATCTAATAATTCACTATTACTAGTATCTCCATAGTATAGGCTTGGATCACAAAGCAAATTTTCTAAATGTTCTTCCAATTGTTCTTGAACTTCTTTAAAATGGTTTTTTATGACTATGAAGGAGATTTTTTTTAAAAGTAATAAGGATAAATTCAGGATCAGTTTGAACTGATGCTCGTTTGGGAGGACGAACCAAACGAGTCATCAGTCTGTACAGGTATAAGAACTGCACTGTTGTGGGATGAGAATTGCTTCCACTTCCTTATCTTATCATTCCAAAGAAACGCTAATTGAAAAGAAAACATAAGTTAGGAGTTTAATACAAGATTATATAATCATTACACTAAGTCAGTTTTGATTGATAAAAAAAAAATATCAGGCGATTAATCTTAAAGTATTTACAAGGAAAGGTGGGCGACAGAGAGATAGCCCTCAGTGAATCACAGTAAGTCTCACAAACCCAGCTCAATCTTTAGTTAACATGTTTTTAAATATAAAAATACAGTGGTACCTCGGTATACGTCTGCTTTAGAATACGTCCAATTCGAAATACGTCCTGTTTGGATGAAACAAGTTTTGCTCGGTATACGACTTTTGTTCGGTATACGACGTAATTCAATTATACGCGCCATCTACGAACAAGTAGCACTATCGGTGTATTAGACCAGACTAGACGTTCGCGGTGCAACGGTTTATAACTTTGTTAAATTTCTTCTGATTTTAATTTGTAAGTAAAATTTTATTATTTTTATTAATGATGAACTTCAAAAAGGCAAATGAAAAGCAACAGAAAACTAAAAAAAATGACTAGAATCACAACGGAACTGAAAAAAGAGATTGTTGAGGAATATGAAGGTGGTACGCGTGTTCGAGATTTAACTGTTGCATACCGTATTCCGAGAACGATGATATCGACAATCGCGAAAAATAAAGACATTTAATCTGCTAACTTGGGAAAGGAGTTAAATCAATTTCTAAACAGAGATCGAAGACATTAGATCATGTTGAGAAATTGCTTTTGCTTTGGATAACTGAAAAACAGTGCTGGAGTCAGCGTATCGGAAGCAATTATTTGCGAGAAAGCTAAAAAGATACATGCTGATCTCATGAAAAATCAAGCAGGAACTAGCCAGGAAAGCGAGGTGTTTAAAACCATCCATTTTTTTCACGTGAGAACGGATTAATCATTTTTACATTACTTCTTATGAGAAAGGTTGGTTTGGTATACGTCCAATTCGGTATAAGTCCAAACATCAGGAACGGATTAAGGTCGTATACCGAGTTTCCACTGTACTGAAAAAATTTATATTCTTCCAACTTTTCAGTCCGATCAACATGCGGTTAGAACATTTTTTTTTATTTGACTTTAATTGGACTAGGTGTTATATCAAAAGCTTCCAGTCGAAAAATTTACCTGGGAAACTCATTACTTCTATATATTGCGTAATAGAGGGAAATAATTAAACCAAAAGTATTTTAGTTTTGCGGGCAATTTTACGTCGAAATGTTTCAATCAAAACACTTATTCGGTTAACGTCAATAAATATGTAAATTAGAGCTAAATTGGAGCTGAAAAACTACGAAAATAGCGATTATCTAACATTTGTTTACAGTTTTACCTGGATTTACGTAGAGTGAGCGATTTTCTTATTGTAGAATTGTCCACCAGAATTGTCTGGTGGAAAATTGACATTTTCCATCAGACAATTCTGACTCGTTCAAACAGAATCAAACAACTAGAAGTTAGCTAATTAGACCCTAAACGTTATGGAATAATATAAATAAAAGAATGATAGCTACGCCACAATCGTGTCGCGTAGCTATCAAATTATATAAAAATAAACATTAAAAACGCAATTTTGTCATCAATACAGCAAGAAAGAAAGAAAGAAAACAAAGCGCAGAATTTAACGGTGAAATTGTAGCTTTTTACACGATAGATAAAATTTAATAATTTTATTTTAAAACACAGGGTCCGAGAGACCCATTGCGACTCAGCAAGGGCAAAAAGTTACATGGCTCACTGAGGATTAAGATTACATAAAAACACATAAATATTTACCTCCGGTATTGTGTTTTCGGGATCTCTTCCTAGATGGTTCTTCATTTCTTGTGAGACATCGCGTTGATCGTTTTTGAGGTAAAGACTTACTAATGTACTTAGGACAATTAGGGAAATTTGATGGATATGCATCCGACGTTAATGCCCAGCGATCTCGTGGAATTTCTACTTTCTCTCCATTTATGACATGGGAGTAGGTTTTAAAATAAATCTACTCGCAAAATGTACGTCACAAACGTAACATTTACTTGTTAGCATCTTGTCGTCTCGTGGAATGCATCGCATCCACTCCTCAATTTTATCACTAGAAACACGGAAAAAATGTCTTTTTTCGTTCGATGACTTATATTCTGCCTTGCATCCTGGCACAAAGCACGTTAGCATTTTTATGTAGCTACTAAAAAACACAATTATTATAAGTCGAAATCACTGACCTCAGTATACACATAGCAAGAACAACTCTCTTCTGCTAATAGTGGCGCCAACTAGCGACAAATATTGTCTCTAGTTAAGTTTGAACTATTAGTCGAAAGACCAGTTAATCTACCGACTCTGCAGTTACCCTTAAAAAGACTTCCCGGAAGGCATCCCCCAGGCAGTTCGCCCAAGTGTTGCGTTGCCATAACTCAAACAAATCAAACCTAAACGCTGGTACCTGGCCAACAGATTGGCCGTGTGAAGTTTTCGGGTTTTCTTCACGTTTGTACCACTTAAATACAGGCGAGTTTCCCATAAAAGTCTTTCTGAGAGATATCCCTCCTCGAAAGATTTTAAAATATTACAAGGCAAAAACCTAATTAATTTTTAAAGATATATACGACAATTTATATATAAATTAGCAGACTTCCTGGAAAATAACTACAAAAAAATAGACTATTAAATCTACTCTAAAATTAACTGTATAGACCTATATAAAGAATATTTGTAAAATTTATAATTTAAACACGAAACCAACCTGATTCGGTACTTCTTATTTTTAATATCCTCAATTTTATCTCTTAAAGTTAAAATTCCATTAAAATTACAGTTTCCCCTGTATTTCCTACATATATCATTATATGTAAGATTGAATTGATTCCAATATATATTCAAATTCCAAATATTTCTGTCTAGTCGTTGTAATTCATCAAAAATTGTATCATTTAGCATAAATTCATTATTTTTAGCTGTTGCTATAATTAAACAACATCCTTTCATGTCTATTATTCGAGAAAAATCAAAATCCAATTCATTTTGTGGAAGTAATCTTTCTATGGCCTTTCTTATCTTTGAGCTTTCTCCATGGATTGGAAAATGTAGATATTCTGCATCATGCACAATGTTTAATCTCAATAGACCCAAAGTTGTAAGTGCAGCAAAGAGAAGAGGGATAAATACAAAATATAATGGATGTCTACCAACAAATAAACCAAGACGTTTGTACGTAACAGACAAACGTTTATGAATAACAAAGAAGCGTAGTTTCCTGCACGGCATCTTTCAAATTCTTCAATTTCTAAAAAAATATAAAACCATTTAATACAATTCTTTTCATCATAAACCTTCTCATTGTTTAACTATTCTAAAACTATTCTACATTATTTATATATAAATACATAAAATACAATAGATACTCTCTACTCTAAAACAATTTTTATGTTAATAGAGTTGTTTAACTTTCCCGGCAACATTTAAAACTGCGTGTGTGGAGCCATCTGTTATGATATTTTATTATTAAAAACTTTTTATATTTTTAATTATTATAAAATGGTTAAAGGATTAACTTTGAGGGTAGTGATGAGTTTTATAAACAATTACAAATGATAATAACCAGTAAAATCTTCATTAGATCCGATCCTATTCGAGATATGACACGATCCCCTTTATCTCTCCACCTTCTCGATCTTTAACCACCAAAATTTAGTAGCATAAACCCCCATAATAAACAAACCTATTTGCAAAATTTCGTAAATTTTCGACAAAAATCACTGGAGTTATTAATCTAAAAACAGGGTAAACACAATTGTACCCCATACAGACACACACTAACGTCCATACATACAGAAATTACCCTAGAATTTTTTTATATTTCCCAACGTTACGTGGTGTTTTAAGTCAAAAAAATATGATTAAATTTAAAAAGATATTTCTGTTTTTTACTGTCGAAATTATATATAAATTAGATTAAGAATAAATTATTTATCTTACCAAATATAGTGATAATCCATTGTAATGGTTCCTCACTGACACTTTGTACAAAAAGGATAGAATTTCTCACATAGTATCTTAAGTAATCAGTAAATTAAACTTTGATACTAATAACAGTAAAATAGCTTTTAAAAAACAAAATTTTAATGAACCAAATCTAAAAATTGTGATAAGAAATGTATAGTGTAGTGGTTAAGTTTGATAATTCGCTTCGATAAAAAGTAAATTGACCTCCGAAATGTAGATATTCGATATGCCTTAAATAATATAATAATATCAGTAGCTATTATTTTCTTATATAATTTCAATTGTCTTTTTTAAAATTTATATTATTAATACAAATACGGGATATTTATTGCTATACTTTAAGTGAAAATCGATTTTCATACACTCGTTCGTTATAAAAACATATAACACAAATCTCTTCGATTTAGAGAGGTTATCGGTGATGTTTTCTATTGAAATGATGGATATATTTATAAAAATAATATTTATTTTATCCGCAGATAAAGCGTTTTTTACTCTTTAAGCAATTACTGTTATTAGTAGAACTCGTATTGCGTTTAAAATATACTGTACTTGCTTATATCTATAAAACTAAATATAATTTGAAATAATATAAGATAATGTAATCGATTATTCGGTTACATTATTCTTATATCTTATGCTTACATGTCGAATTTCCTAATATGAGGTGCATTCTAGTTCTATGGTCTCCGAGGCTCACCAGTGGCTAAGCGGTTTCGTTCCCTGAACACTGAGAGTTCAGTCGTGTATTCGCCAGAATGGATTGAGTTTTCCAGGTTTCTCCAGTTTTCTCCACGTCTGTAACGCCTGAATAGGTACTACTTACCCTTAAAAAGACCTATAATGCTAATTTATTTTGGGCTGTATCAAAAATCAGAAGTATCCCAATCATAAACTTGGTTCTTTAAAATAGCCTAACACCGGCTCCATATTGAGCCTTGTAATTTCTATTTTATTTATTATTTCCTTATAACTGACGTTTAAACTTTTTAAAATACAACTACAACGGAAAAACATTTTACTTTCAAGGACTAAAGATACGTTTATAAGAATATTTCTTCAAATTTCCTTTACAAATAATTACGGGATATAAAAATGAAAGATATTTTAAACTTTTAAACTGTTTTTATAAATTAATACTATAAATATTCTTATTAAATGTAACCATATATAAGAAACAAAATCACTTAGGTGTTAAATTAAACCTGGTGACATCTAATTGTTATTTTAAATTAACTGTCTTAACGCGTTAAAAAGTTAAACTTCGAATGCATCTGTAACTATTATAACTAAAACATTAAAAATAGATAAATAACAAACCATTAAACCATGTGAATAGCTGTATTGCCACAACAACGTAGACTACTTGTGGTAGTAAGTACTGTATATAAATAGAGGGAAAGTCTGACTATTAATGAAAATTTTTTTATGATTTAATCGATGGCCAGATTTTTCCTCTTATCTTACAGCCAGGAAAGTAAACATGCTTTGAATTCAGTGGATATTTTTCATTAAAATAATATAAATTAACATATAATAATACCTACCAGAAGTTTAGCGGTGTAGGCTACTGTACAATAAATTTTTCCTGAATAAAATTTTGTAGTTATTTGATTTAATTTTAACTTTAGTAAATGCTATATAAGCAGTCATTGTAAATTAGCAGGAGAATTTGAGTGCTAACATAAAAACAATCCTGTGTACGTGAAGAAAAGCCGCAAAACTCCACGTGGCAAGAGCGATGGTGTGGCGAGAAGCCATGACCAATTACAGTCTATTTCCCTATAACACTGTTGATAATTCCGTTTTATATGAATTCCATATTGTACGAGTCACTTAGATTTTACAAATACGTGTGCCGGGCTGTGAACGGCTCACGTATTTGTAAAATCTAAGTGACTCGTACAACATGGAATTCATATAAAACGGAATTATCAACAATGTTATAGGGGAATCGATTGTACCAAGTTCAGTGGTTTTAACCACTTGTCCACTAATGGGCTCCTGTTTTTCTTTATTGCTATTGTTACGGACATTCAAGAAAGTTATTTAATTATGGAAAAATTCGATTATGACTTGAATATAACTTCGCTGCAATTTTTTTTAATGAAATAATGTAATATTTAATGAGAGAAATTAGGTCACTTTTTCTTGTATAATTTATATAAAGATTTATTGCTGAATTCTGTGATAATTTCAGAAATAGCCAAGTAAAAAAACCTGAAATATTTTTTGTTACAAGGACAAACGTACAAGGATAAATTAATGTAAATTTATTTTTACATTTCTTTGTTTAAAGATAAGTTATAGGGCGTATAATATTTTCGGATGGTTACAAAAATATTATTTTTATTTTTGCATACAATAGAACACTGTTTCAATTCTAAGATTTAGAAAATTTTGTCGTTTCATAAAGAAAAGCGAGAGTTTCCAGTAGAAATTAATAAAACGTGAGTAATTAATGATATATATTTTTTCTGCTTTTTAATTTTTACTTTTCCAACAGAGGGAAAAGTATGGAGATCGATTAAAAAAAATGACTTTTTTGGACTCAAGGGATTTTGAAAAGTCAACAAATGTTAAGATGGTGGGGATTTTTTTTTGTATGTATGGATGTTAGTGTGTGTGTTAAGCACGATTTTGTTCGCCCTGTTTGAAGCTTAATAACTCCTGTGCTTTTTGTCGAAAATTTCTGAAATTTTGCAGGGAAATTTATGTATTTGGGGGATTGGTTCTATTATATTTTGGTGGTTAAAATCGAGGAGATAGGGATAATTCGACGTGTCATATCCCCCATCCCCTCGAATACGTGTCATATCTCGAGTGGGGTCGGATTTAATAAAAAAATTTTTTATTCAATTTTGGCATTTATAATATTTTAAAAAAATTCTTTTTTATCTTCAAAATTTATTATAATTAATAATATAAAAGTTATTTTTTAATGAAATCTCACAAGAGCTGGAAAAGTTACGCAACTCGTATTATATTGTGATCCAAATAATCAAATTGACATTTAAAATAAGTAGCAAGAAATTGTCCTGTTTAAAATTATTCATACTTTTCAAAATGAATAAATTAAAAAGAATAAATAGTGAATTGAAAATTTCAAATGCTGTTCAATGTACAAATTATACAGTAAAAAATTTCATGACTTAGAAGCTATTCGAGATATTGTCCCATTCCATTAATACTCCAGCAACAGATATTAATAAATAACGACCTATTGAACCTATTTCGTAACAAGGGAGTTAATAATCTCCTGGCATGACTTGAAGGTTGAATTTGTTTTATATAATAATTTATGAAAAATGATAAACGTACATTTTCCTCAAAAACCGAGCCAAAAAACTTTCAAAAGTCATTAATATTATCTTTTTGATCTCATTTGATTAAATGATAATATGTTAATTCAAGTTCACCTATCTTAGCCATGAAATGTAAGCATGTTGTAATATTATATACTGGCCAGGACACGGGAACCACATTATCAAACCGGAATAATCCCGTTCAAAGCGGTACGTATAGCAACGAGAGTTGCATAACTTTCCCGGCTGTTATGAGTTTTTATTTAAAAAAACAACGAATAGAATTTTTAGTAAGTCCTACTCCTCTGGAGATACATGACCCTCTCTATCTCCCCACCCTCTCCACTTTTTACAACCAAAATCTAATAGCATCAATGCCCCTCATATGCAAACCACCACGCCAAATTTCGTTTCTTAATCTTTACTCCATTTCGAGATATTAAGCGAAATAGACACCAACACACACACACACACCCACACACCTATCCATGGAAGTTTTTCGTGCTTTGACATTTTTGGGTTCAGGGGATCTTAGAACATGGAGATTATCAAAAAATTCGCCGCAAATTTGACACGATTCCAATAATTTCCTGTGTTTTGTAATTAACAAAACAGAAAAATAAAAGGAACGTAAAAAATAGCAGTTTCAGGAAATATATTATTTTAAGCGCTTCTATTAAACAATATAATTTCTAATATACCTAAATCGGATGCGCCTTTATTATTATTGTGAAAAATAAGAATTACTTTCATGTATACAAACACCAAACCGAACAAAAATGTAATTAATAAAGATAAAAGTGTTATAAAATATATGCATATATGGGCCGTTCATAAATTACGTAAGGGCGATTTCGGCCATTCTAGATCCCACCCACCCGTGTGTAAGAAACTGTAATATTTTCTTTGATCCCCTTTCCCTTTCCCTTCCCCTTCCCACTCTTACGTAATATTTTGGCATGAAGAGAAACCACCACACGGCCTTTCTCCCATGATAAAAAAATGTGTAGAGCGTGAATCTGCTAGCGTTATTACTCTATCACGTCACACGAACAACAGCGTTCTTAATAGAAACCGCCAAATTGAAGCCAAATTCAAAACGCCACCACTAGATCAAAAACTAAAATAAGTATATTACGTAAGACGAGATCTATTAACCCCCTACCCCTGAGTAAGAAATCGTAAGAAATCCTTGACCCCATCCACCATAAAATATCTTATGTAATTTATGGACGGCCCTAATGACGAAATTTTGTGGTGTAATTACGTGAAAACCTGTATTAGATCTAAGAAGTGAGGAAGAAATAATGGCAACGTTTCCAGTTGGCTGCATTAATGTTTGATTGTTTAATTGGCATAATATATATTACGTGTCACAGAAGTGTTTTAATTCTTATTTATTATATTCTATAAATACATTTATAGATATTTCGTAAGTTCTGTAGGCAAACTCAAAATATACAGTAGACACGCAACTTCAAATTTCTTTTGTATTTATCTGTTATTTATTCTTATGAAAATAATTGATTTTTATTATTCCTGGTTAAATAGGTTTTTTGTAAATTAGTATTACAGGTAAGAAGCTTTTTAATATATTGTAACTTTACTAATTGTTTTTTTGTAATTTTTAAAATATACATTGTTATTATATTTGTATTGTTTTTAACTAAAAGCGACCTTGAATTTAAAGAAATAAAATGGAAACGATAGCAAGAAAGATGGCCACGAGATTTCTAAATGAATGAACGAACCGATTTATTGCAGTTTTAGAAATAATTAATAGTAAACTTTTACAATTAAATAACTGTAGAAATTTACTTAGGTGTAAAAGAAAAAGAATGGAGGAAAATGTCACTCTTTGGCAGATTGCTATTTCGCACGCATAAAATTTTTGATTAACTGAACGTATAATTGAGTTGTTTGACTACTTTAGACACAGCAGGAGACACTTTCAAATTCTCTGTTAATATAGCTAGGTACTGTACAACGATAAAGTATTTACGTGCCGAATAAAAATAAATTAGAGTTTTCAGCATAATAGAAGGTAAGTAAAAAAAAATATATATATATATTTTATTTCTATGTTTTTACCTGTATTCTTTGAGGATATGATAAACAACTAACGTTTGAAAATGTATTTAGCAATAAGAATTCTAGAATTTAATTTATTATACTCTCTTAAATCTTAAGCTGAAGAGGAGTCTGAACTCCGGTTTACTCGTGTAAAACTGTTACAATAAGGCTGGATAACAATGTGATGAAACGACGTAATAGAATTCTGGCTGTGATACATCAAGATAAACCGGTTCTTGTATTCTCTTAGCATAAGGGTGTGGTTGAGAATAAATCACACAGGAACACTTTTAGTCGGTTTATAGGAAAGGATATGCATTTCGGGCTTAATGCTCCTATTCAGTCCTATTATAACATATTTATCAGCAAAATTATTAGAGAGTTACAGATTTACCGATTGTATTGAAATATTTAGGATACGCGTACAAAAGTTTATACAATAAAACTCGTGAGAAAACATAGGTGAAAAAAGGGGAGGAAAGTGGAGCTAAAATTCTTTTATCTTCAACCTTATACACATTAGAACAGTATAACAACATGTGGTAGAATAAAAAGGGGGTAATAAAACTATTAAATAAAATATTAAGTAATTAAGAAGCAAAATTTTTATAAAATTAATAAGGGTGTGAAATAATTCCGATGAAATGTATAGTATAAAAAACATAGACCAGATAGGAAAGGTTAAAAAGATGTGAGTATTCCCTGTATCGTTCACTGAATGTTTGGTGTGTTGACTTACACAGTGGAATAGGGAGGTAGTATATATTAATTAATGGGCTTTGCTATTTAGTTAGGAATAGTTGCCAGATGTCATTGATGACTGCACCTGTATTTAGGTTCGTTCTGTGTATTTCATTTGCTTTAATAATTTCAACGTGTTCATAAAATTTTCTTTTAATAATATATAGTCTATATTTTTTCTTTTTTAAAAATTTTAACGCTGTGGAGTGACATCTCGCAGCCAGCTTGGTTGCAATGAGCTACCTGTCGTCACTCAATAATAATTTTGCTGATAAATCTGTTATAATAGAACTTAAGAGGGGCATTAAGCTCGAAATGCATTATCTTTCCTATCAATAAACCGACTTTTTTCCACTAAAAGTGTTCCTGTGTGATTTGTTCTCAACGGCAACCTTATGCTAAGAAAATAATACAGTAAAAAGAATAGCAAGAAACCAAGATCTAAACCGGTTCTCGTTCTGATAATAATCAATTATTATAAATAGGTATATTATAAGTAGATACATTAAATACCCTACGTTTACGCCTATTTGTTTGTTATTAATGCAACATGTTTAAAATAATTAACATAAAATATATTTAAATCTGTTGCAATTGTTGTTAGTTTTCATTAAATATTTTAAAATATTTGTTACATGTGAATTTCATTTTTAAAAATTTAAATCTTTTCGTAAAATAGGCAGAAAATTAATAATATATATTTTAGTATATATACTAAAATACCGCTATATCCTCACCCCCGAAACTCCGCTATAATAAGGGATAAGTTTTATTATAGATAAAACTTCACATATAATTACCCGAACCTTACTTCAGTGGCCACAATAGTAGGGTTTTAAAGTGATCTTAATCTCCTTTTATATGGCCAACAAAACAGTAAAACGTCATGTTCTGAATTACAATGTGCCGTTTCTAACTTTTCTTAATTTTTTCAGGATCCTCATGAAATATGAAGTCTTGAAATAAATTACCTTACAAATTTAACATTGAACAAATGGAATATCTTAATATACTGTACATGTAATAATAGAAAATCATAATAAGTGATAGTGATTTTTTTTAAACTAATATCATTGAACATGCAATCTGACAAAGAGAAATTTAACGTTGTTCATCGACATTTATCTTCAAGCTTTCGCCATCTTGGACGGATGATTGGACGTCATCCTTTGTATTTTGTAGTAATACCATTATTATTCACTGTTCTATCCACTTTGGGTTTATTCAGACTACAAGTTATTAAAGATTCCGAATATTTACATGTTCCATCAAACGGAAGAACTTGGAAAGTCAAATCAGATGTAGAGAAGTTCTTTCGGGATAATGCTACAGACTTTGATTTTACTCGAATGACAATGTATAAAGGAGCGAATATGATTATAGCGACGTGTAAAGATGGAGGAACAATGATGCGTGAATACGTATTTGATGAATTACAAATGCTAAACGAAAAGATTCTCGACATAAAAATAACATGGAAAGGACAAAACGTAACGTATTCCGATATCTGTATGAGATCGGAAGGAGAGTGTTTCCAAAATAATTTATTATCTTTAAAAACTAAATTTGAAGATGTTAGAAGAAAAAAGCTACAGATTAAGTAAGCATTATTCTTTGTTTTTTTAGTTTATTAATTTTAAACTTCAGTTTTATTAGTTACTAGCAGGTAAGCCCGGTATTGTCCGAGCAAAAAATAAGTACAAATATTGTTAAAAGTCATTGAGGATTTATTCATGTCGATTTTATCTCTTAATAATGATTTATATCGAGACTTATCCACACCCAATATTACTCACACGTAAGGTCTCCTTATCAGACCTAAAAAATATATAATATGTTTTATTTTGACTTCACAATTTCCTTATATTTTTGTCAATTATATTTCGTACTTATTGATTAATCAGTGATTCAGTCAGCTCAGTGTACACAGATAACGTAGTTTACATTTGAATATAAATTAGAGACGTGGCTAGATCACTTGGGAATGTGGACAAACTCAAATATGGCCCTGAATTTTCCAGTGGTTTAGCTGTTTTATATGTTGATTTAGTGAGCTGTTTTATTTTAAAGCAATACATATTATATTAACATTATAATAGTTTTCTTCAGAAATTGTAAAAAAGATGCTGTATACTGGAAACATAAATATAACGCGTACATAATGGGGTGGTGATACTCACCACTTAGGATCAGGATCTGCCAAAACGAAAACAATGCATGAAATAATTATTTATTTGAAAGTCAATAGTAATTGAAATACACTAGAATTTTACTCTGATAAATGTTTAAAAACTTTCGTTGATAGAGAATGCAACGCAAACAAGTCACCTGTAAAATGACAATGTTATTATTATTTCTGTTTAGTGAGAATAATAAACTAAATATGTACTTACTTTCAACGCAAGATTTTAAGTTTATATAATCCGATTATGTTTTAACAGGTATCCTTTAGAGATAAATTCATCTCACATTAGTGTAGATGCTATCAATTTAGGAGGAGTTTCAACTGACGAAGACAGTTTTATAACAGATTTTCAAGCATTTCGTTTACTCTATTTCGTCGATTATCATAATTCCAGCAAACAAGAAATTGCTCACAAATGGGAAGAAGAATTTCTAAAAACACTTGCTGAAAATTCCTTCGTTTACATTCGAATATCAAAAATGAGTGGAATTAGTATCGATAACGAAGTTAATAATATATTTGTAAATGTTATATGGCATTTTATTATTACTGGAATACTTACGGTGATATTTGCAAGTGTAACTTGTATGACGAAGGACTGGGTGACAAGTAAACCGCTGATTGGTGCTTCCGCTTGTATTTCATCCTTGTTTGCTGTGATAACTGCCTTTAATATCTTAGTTGTTTGCGGAATGAAATATGCTGAAACGAATGTAATTGTTCCATTTATAGTTATAGGTGAGTGTACGAAATATCATTTTTATATATAAATATTGAATTTGATTTAAATTAACGACTGTTTGAATATATTTTTGAGGTATCGGACTGGATGACTCATTTGTTCTATTAGCGGCTTGGAGAAAAACCAACCCCAAAGATTCTGTTGAAAAGAGAATGAGTGAAACGTATTCCGAGGCTACCGTATCGATTACCATAACGTCTTTGACTAACGTTGCTTGTTCGTTAATTGCGATAACTACTCCTTTCGGAATTCTCCAAATTGCCGGAAGTTACATGGCTTTAAGTATTTTCATAGATTACATCTATCAGGTTACATTCTTCGGCGGACTTCTTGCACTGGATGGTTATAGAGAAACCAAGAAATTGCATGCAATACTTTTCGTTCCTGTTAATCTGGATGTACGACCATCAGGTAACATAACGTAACTTAATTATTATTAAATTAGTTAACTCTAAATAATGAATTGCATCGTGGAATTTAAAAGAAAAGAAGTTTCTTTAATTGTTTCTTTAAAATTAAAATAATATTTCGAAGAGAAATTTAACACACACACACACACACACACTTACCTATATTCTACATAATCTACTATTCATATAGTATTACTACATTTGGACTATTTTTTACTTTTTGGGTTACTTTAAAAATAATTTTAACTACATTTCGAGGAATTCGGAATTACTTAATATGAAACTTATGTGGAAACATATCAGGTTCTCGCCGGATATGTACTGTTTACCTGTAGTTTATTTATATTATTATTATTAATTAACGAAAATAGCGTTCTGTATAGGTAGCCGTACTTCATTCGCTTCATAAATTATCCAAAAGGTGTGTAAGAATCGCCACTTCCGTGACTAAATAGTGCGAAGATTTAAGATGATTAAATTATAGCCGATCTTATCCGTTTTCACCGGGTGCAAGAATTAGATCCCCCTTTTCCGAAACTAATTAAAGAATTTTTAGATGGGTCTAAAAATATGTTCGATTTCCCACAAGAAACGCAAAAATTAGGTAATAAATATATTCATTTTTCTTCTAGGTTTACTGGGATTTATAAAGTATGGCTGTTATTCAAGTGAAGATATTGTAGGCAAAACAACAATGACATGTTACAGAAATTATTTAGGAAAGATACTAACGTTTCCAATTGTAAAAGCAACTATTATTCTTTTTTTCCTTCTGTATCTCGCTGGAGGAATCTATTTTACGAAATATTTACAACCATCGACAGGTATCGATACGGCATTTAACGACAATTCTTACATGTTAAACTTCTTTCGTGATGAAAATACATTCTATTCGCAATATCGAGAGAGAATACAGATAATTGTTACATCATCATTGGACTACTCCGATCCAAATACCCAGAATAATCTAGAGAAATTAACGACAGAACTGGAGAATTCTCCTCATATGGCCGGGAGTAATTACACGGAATCAGGGCTAAGACAATATCTGAAATTCATTAAAGATCCACAGTTTTGGATTTCTCTCAGAGGATATAATTTGAGTCGACCGGATGACTTCACCGATGCTTTACGCAGAGTATTTCTTAAATTCAAGTGGGCCAAACGTTTCAACAAGGACATTGTCTTCAGTGAAGATGGCACTAAAATATTAGCTTCTAGATTTTTTATTCAGACGAAATTGGTTGATAATTCGCTGAAAGCAAATGAAGTTTTTGTTAATATGTGGAATATAATAGATAAATATAATCTTCCTGTACAGTGTTACAATTATCGATATATTTTCTTTGATTCTATCCTTGAGGTAGTTCCTATAACAACTCAATCAATAGCCGTTAGTTCTTGCGTGGTAATTTTGATATTTATCATTTTTATTCCAAATGTGTTTTGTGCATTTTGTATTGCTCTCACAATAGCTTGTATTGAGGTAATAAGTATAGGCTATATGTCTGTATGGGGTGTTAATTTGATTCCTTTAGTAATGATTTTATTGATAGCGATCACTGGATTTTGTACGGATTATGCAGCTCATATAACATACGCGTATGCAAAAAGTAAAAGAAAGAATCCGAATGAAAAACTGCAAGATTGTTTGGATGCTGCTGGTCACGCGATAGTGCAAGGTTGTATTTCGTCGCTTTTCGGCGTCGTTGTTTTAATCGGAGCGCCGTACGAAGGCTTGAAAGATGTGTTTAAAGTATGTTTTATATTTTTTATTTCTTCTATAGTTCAAGGGTTATTTATTCTTCCGGCTATGCTGTCATTATGGGACGATTTTTTGTTATTATTATGTAAAAGTGATGAACGACGGCGTTCGAACCGAGAGTTTTCGTATATTCCCAATACGAATGAAGAGTTATTAAACTAAAGAATTAGTGTGAACTTGTAAAATATCTAAAATGTAAAACCTTAGCACTGTGAAGTGTTATAGATCGATAGACATAACATAGAAAGCCAAGTTGACAATTTAAGCATTAATTGCGTATATGAAAAAATGTTCGTTAATATTCTTATTATTTTTATATATTTTTCTTTGTTTTGCACTCTAACATGCTGCCTTTCTTATATATTTTCACCAACACTGATTTTGCCAATTCTTTAGGTACACTGTCACAATGGACTACAAGTTTTAATCATATTTTTAATTTATTTAATTTTAAATATATGCTTTCCACCTCAAATCAGTAGTAGCTTTATCATACTTTTCCTTTAACAATAGAGTCGTGCCAATCATTTATTTAACACCTTTCGGGGGGAATTATGAATTAAAATAACGAGACTCTCGATTTTCATCGGAAGTTTTTATATAGTTAATCGGGGCTTCCTGTTCCATATGGTTTCCGTATAGGATCTCGGATTCCATTCGTCTGACTCCGTTCTCGAGAGTAAAGAAAGACATACAGACGGACGGACAAACGGAATTTATAGGTCTACAATTTTTTCAAATTTTACCCCCTTTATGTGTAACGGAAAATTTATATACTGTATATAGTATATTAAATAATACATTTTCACTAGAAGCAATAAGTTTATTACATGTAAACAAACAAGAGATTAATACTTAGTGGAATCACCTTTGTCTTCTATGACAGCTTGTAAACTCCATGACATCAAATCCACCTATTTTTCGAGAAAGATGTTGATCTTGCGCTTCATTTATCGAATAAAGTTGTTCGGTAGACTTGTAGGCTTTTCCTCTTAGATTTTAGGATTGTTCGATCCAGCTTCTTCCAAAGATGTTTGGTGGGATTCAAATCCAGACTTTAGGGAAGCCAAAAAATGTTCGAGAAGATTGGACGAATGCTTCTAGGAGGCCAAGTCCACGACGAGAGAAACACCCTGTACCCTCCTGTATTGGAAATGCTCTACAGTCCCAACACAGTTAGCAGGTGTGTAGGCGATGTTCTTCATTCGCCACACAATTTGTTACCGTCTGGAGCTCTTAAATCTCTTGTGGTCGAATCCAGAATAGATTGCTGATTACTGATGTAAAGGATCGATAAGTAAATAAAATAAGTTATATCTGTTTTATATTAAGTGAGACTTTTAAGAAAAATTTTAATTTATGTATCTTACATTATGGGTTCGGCCAGGCTCACAATGGGTAATGACCAGGCTTACAAATACGGAAGGACAAAAACGTAAAAATGGAGTTTTACCTATAGAACAAAACTTTATGTACTGTACAGTTAATAATAGAAATTCATTAAATACATTCATAAAGTCTTTTGGGCGTGTGAATAATGACAGCACAAATTAATGTGCAAAATTAGAGACGACATGAAAAATAAAAGTGTTATCTGTTTAATTTTTTAAATAGGCGAGTTTAACCGAAAATACGAAGTATGGAAATTAAATAATTATGAGAAATCGGGGGTTTAAGTCAGCGAAACCTAACCCGTTCTCCGGCGTGACTTGGAGGAATATTTGATCGGTTTTTATCTATCAGAGTATGGCGAGGAAAAGGACATGTGGGTTTTCCACTTCGTCATCTTTTCACCGCTTGACCTTTCTATTGCCCTTTTCTCGGGGAGAATATTAGAATATTTGATTACTTAAATATTTAATTAACGTCGACCAAAACAAAAGTGGAAATGAAAAAGGGATCGAAATCTCACACCATCCTCTACTTTTCCAAAAATTGCAGTGTTTTTCTTAAAACTGAGTGCGATTTTTATAACTTCGAAGAATTGGACACATTTAAACTCATTTTTTGTGTAAACTAGAGCAAAAATGTGGGACCTCTTAAAGTACACCTTTTTGTGAGAGGTAGTTTCTGGGAAGATAATATCGGTCTATATGCGGTATTGTAATTTCCTTTTCAAACTCTCTCTCTAAGTTATGATAATATAAAATAAAAATAACAGATTAAGCAGACAAAGGTAAAGAATTCGTTGAGTAAGTGGTCGCGTAGCCTACTACTACTTTTTCATCACAGAGTGTCGCGTTACCACTTATCCAAGTCACGTTACTCTTTACGGCCTGTTACATAAACCGATAGAGAAAACAAATCGACGTTTGCTGAATCAGATAGTTTACTGTTGAGTAATCGGTGACTCGTGGTCGTCTTTGAAGGTTAAAAATAGTTCAAAGTCCGTCAACTGGATAGTTGGTCGGTTCGTCTCGCATTGTCTTCTCTTGTTGCGAGTAGAATTGTTCCAAGAAATTCTTCGGTTAATCGTGATGTTGTCACTTCGATTGATTCACATAGCGGGTTCCATTCTGAAGTGGGATACGAGCTCGTCCGATTTCAAGTAAGTGGGTGAAAGGTCGCGGAAGAGTGGGTTGTAGTTGACCGTTGACATACATTCGTCGAGTCGAAGATCGACTGCGGATTAAAAGTTATTCTCCTGGTAGAGGATTTGTAGATAGGTTGTAAACGAGAGTTTCCATGAAAGGTTTCGTTGGCACGGCTGATTGCTTTTCGGTCTAAATGTTACTTTAATTTTACAATTCACAATAAACAAAGTTAATAACCCCAACATGTTTCTTAGTGTTTCTCCTCGGTTTTGCCGGGAAACGAGGTATTCAAATTAACATAAAGGTTTTATACACTCTCTCTACTATCCATTCTTAAACTGGATGACCTCAGCATGAGCATAGTTCTCACTTTCTACACTGCAACAGCAGTCTGCTAGGAGAGATGGGCCTCACTCGAAGGTATAGCCCATGAAAAGAAACGGAAATGAGAAGAAAAGTTTGTGAGAAATTAGGGCGAAGGGGAAATTTAGATAGATAGAAAAGGTAAGACAGGAGCAGCTCCCTTGCGGGGACCATAAATATGTATTTCTTTTATTTTCAATACAAATTTCATTTATACAACTATATTCAAAATTACACTGCAACAGCAGAAGGTTGGAACGACGTAGACCTAGTTACTGAAGAACTAGACTACAGAATAGAAGAGAAAGGGGCCTGCAGAGTCGTCTTGCTTCGGCAAGACGACTCTGCAGGCTTTTCTCTTCACCTTCTAATCTTCCATGTAATCTATTACTATTACTTCTTTTCTTTCATTTCTTTCAGGGTTAAGTCAGTCAACAAGACAGTCAGCCCTGTTAATCTTTAATATTCTTAACTAAAAATCTAATATTATCCTATATACTAATACAATGAAGAATATGCTCTTAAAAAAATACATTAATATAGGGAGGAAAATTAGATTGTCGTGGCCGTCCTTCTTTACAGGTTGGGTTCCCTTAAATGCGCCAATTATTTGTCTCTGAGGGGTAGAATCAGGTAGACTTTCCTCTTGAGTAACCTTGAGCTCGGTACTTTCCTTTGGAGTAATTGCTTCTTTACTCTTTTTAAATGTGTTTTCCTCGTTTGTGTTCCTTTGGTATTTCCGACGAATAGATTTAGAACATTTTATTTTCCAAAAGCAATAACGAAATGTGGAAATGATGCATATACTAAGGATTGCCGTATAACACAGCCAAGAATTATCACGGTAAGTGGAGGTGAAACGGTTGAAGTAGGTATTGTAGATCGCATGTGGAAATGGGAGGTAAGGATAATTCCAGGTAAAATATCCTACGCATCCATTTGGTAAAGTTATTATCCTCGTATTATTTAATTTGCTAATCGACGAAGGGGATGAAGGCTATTTTCGCCGTCTAGAGGATCACTTGCTAGCTAAGATGACTGAGGTGAGGTGGGTGTGGAGTATATCCACGTTCCTCGATCGTCTATTCTTTTAAAATCAGCGAATAACTTAAGACAATTAGAACAGAGTTCCTTGACCTTTAGATCATTTCCGATGTATAGCGAATATTCCCAACTTTGTTGTGACGCTCTTCGTATCGGTACGTGTGAACAGATAGAAAAATGTGACGTTTAACAAATCGTCAATTCAATAACATATACGATTGTCTATTTAGGCTATAACTAATGCTATGATAAGATATTCTGTTTGAAAGTAGGCGAATGCTTTTATTGAATGAATATAGGTAGAGTTCTAAAATGTCATAAGTATCGAAGTATCCACTCGCTGTAATTAAATCTATGATTACCTTTGATTACACCAATACTATGATTACGTCACTTCTACAGAAAGTAGAACACCAGACGACCTTCATCCACTTTTCAGCCTCGTGGGTTGGGAGGGGGCAATGTAGCGAGACGTCTTAGTTGTAAACATTATAACTCTTACGTCATTTATCATCAGGAATGACGTCACCAAAAATGTTACTTACGTCAGCCTTACGCAAAATAGTAAGTTTTTTTTAGCTATTATTAGATAACTTCAGTTGTTTTCTCATTTAAATATTCATAGATATCGCTAAAAATCTTTCGTTTTTATTATTTTACTCGAAATTTTCATTTTAGGCGTGATTAAGTTTTAAACAATTTATAGATGATTATTTAATATATTTATCAGTGGAGAATTATCATTAAGGCTACTATATCCAGGCGTAGAAAAGTAAGAGTTTAGGGACACAAAAATTGTAAATAACAATAAAATAATATTATGTAGAAGCACTTCATAAAGGAATTACTAAAAATTGGAATGGAAATAACATAGCACACAGTAAATTAGTATTAAGTTATATAGATATACAGTATTTGGTACGAATTTCTATCATATTTTACTATGATTAGTCTTGAATCTGAGGAAATATTTTGATCAAAACAAAATATTACTATACGGCAAATTTAAAACTAATAATTATTTACTTTCTGTTTAGAAAATACTAAAAATAAAATTTATGAGTGATGAGTGAAGCGAATGGGGTGCAAAATCTCCTTAGTTAGATGTAATTAATTTTAACATTATATAATAAAATTAATATAATAAATAATCTTATATTTATTGAGAAAAGTCTGCTTAAGTATTAAAATAAAGGAAGAAAAAATAACTTTCTTTTCTTGCATATAAACATTTGAAAATATAAGGAAAAGCGGAATTATTATCTTCTTCTTCTTTATCTTCGCCTTTTCCCATGTTTATATGGAGTCGGTGTTTTCTTCTCTAATAAGTTTTTTTCCATTTCTCCCTATCAAGAACTTCTCTCTTAAGTCCCCTTGAAGTCTTCTTCCACCTTATCTTTCCAACGCATCTTTGGTCTTCCTCTTTTCCTAAAGACCTTTTACTAACAGTTTTCCGATCTTCTTTCCAACATAATTGTCACTTCTTCGCTCAACGTGGCCAAACCACCTCAAACTACATTCTTGCATCTTGTTGCTCATGGGGCTCACCTTAAAGACCCTCTAATAAAATCATTCCTTATTCTATCCTTCTTTGACACTCCACACATCCATTTCAACATTATCATCTCCACCGCCTCCATCTTTCTTTCTTGGGCTCTTGTTATTGCCCATGTCTCAGCTGCATATAACATTGCAGGTCTAACAACTGATTTATACAATTTTCCTTGCCTTTCAGATTGCAGCTAACTTTCGTGTCGCATAACACACCGCTCAGATTCTTCCAGTTCATCCATCCACATTAAATTCTATGCTGCAATCCTCCTCCAAACTTGACAAATGTCTCAAGATATTTAAAACTCGGAACAAAAGGAAGCGAAACATTTTTGGATTTTAATATTACACTCATCTCTACCATTCAGAGTCATATAAGCTGTTTTAGTTCTGCTAATCTTCATGTCTCTTTCTTCCAAAACTTTCCTCCAATCTTTCAGTTTCTTCTCAGCCTTGGTTTGGGAAAGTTCACACAGTACAATATCATCCGCAAACATCATACACCACGGAGCCTCACACTTCACATCACACACCAACACGTCCATTATTAGGTCAAACCAGGGGCGGACTAAGGCCTAGGCAACCTAGGCACGTGCCTAGGGCCCGTAATTTTTGGGGCCCGGAAATTAGGTTTTTAATTTTTTAATTTTAAAAATAGGCCCGGAATTACAATGTTGCCTAGGGCCCGCTTTAGCCTTAGTCCGCCTCGGGGTCAAACAAATAAGGGCTAAGGGACGATCCCTGATGCAACACGACATTAACGAAGAACCCTTCCGTAGTGCCCACACTACTCTTAATTTGGGTCTCCGCTCCCTCGTAAATTTTCATCACGAGCCTAACATATTTTTCTGAAACATTCCTTTCCCTCAAACATCTCCATATCTCTTGCCTTGGTACCCTATCATACGCCTTATCTAGATCTATGAAGACCATGTTCAAATCTTCCTCCATTTCCCCGTGCCTTTCCATCAGCTATTTTAGAGCAAAGATAGCATCAGTTGTACTCCTTCCCGGCAAAATGCCAAACTTGTTCCTCTCCAATTTCAGACTCTTGCCTAATCCTTCTTTCTACAATTTTCTCCCAAATCTTCGTAGTATGGAACAATATCTTTATATCTCTGTAATTTCCGCAATTTTGTACATCTCCATTACTTTTAAAGATCGGCACCAGAATGCTCTTCCTTCATTCATCTGGGATCTCCTGCTGCCAGAGTTTCTTCATAAGTCCAAGAGGATATTAATTCTCTCCTTACCCAAACCTCGCCAAGCCTCAATCGGAATCCGATCAGTGCCTAATGCTTTCCCTATCTTCATTTTCCTAAGCACAATTTTCACTTCTCTGCTAATATCTTGCATCACTCCTTCATTTGCCTCTCCGTTCTCGTATAAAGTTCTGGGGTTTTCTTCATTCAATAAATTCCTAAAATATACTTTCCATTTTTTCCTTGACCCTTTCGTAATCTTGTAATACCACTCCTATATCATCTTTAATCAGTTTAATAGAGGTAAAATCTTTTGATGCCTTATCTCTTGCTTTGGCAATTCTCATCAACTGACTTTCACGACTTTTCCTTTCGAAAACTTTATAAGCCTCTTCTAAAAGTCTTTGCTTTCGCAATAGCCACAGCTTTTTTAGTCAATTTATTTGCCAAATGGTAAATTTCTTTATCTTCAGGCCTTCCCATCAAATCCCATCTTTTCTTTGCATCTTTCTTTTGTTTAACTGCGGATTGTACCTCAGCATTCTACCACCAAAGTTCCAATCCACCAGAAGAACTCTGTATTGTGCAGCAACACTTTCTCCATTTAACACCTTACTGTTTCTCATTTCTCTCAGATGTCTCCTGAGACACAAGAAAAAAATCAATCTGGCTAGATCTACCTCCACTCATTTATGTAACCAGTTGATTCGCTTTCTTCTCAAAGTAGGTATTAACTAGCGCAAGGTCAAAAACCACAGCATGATCGACTAGTCTTTCTTTCTCTCCATTCCTTTCTCCCATACTTCACCTCCCAAGAACTCTTCTTTCCGCATTCTTCCTCTTCCCAACATGATCATTTAAATCGCCCCCACAGATTAATTTCTCGTTCATAGGAACACACATTATAACTTGGTCAAGATCTGTCCAAAAGTTTGTCTTTTCTTCTTTTTTACTACCTGGCTGAGGAGCATACACATGCACATAATCCTAATGAAAATTCCACCAACGTCCAACTTAACTCTCATAATTCTATCACACTTTCGTTTAACCTCACAGACTCTGTCTTTTAGAACTTTCTTTCAACTCCATTCTTTCTTCCCTTATTCGCTCCACTCACAAACAGCTTGTACCCTTCACCAAGTTCTTTAGCATTCCATCTTGTCTCTTGCAGGCACAAAATGTTCACTCTCCTTCTTTGCATAAGATCAACCAACTTTCTACTCTTCCCATTCAATGTTTAAAGTACAGTACAGTACCTATTCTTATTCTTATCTTCTTCCTCTTCTCTTTCTGGATTAACTTTTCTCCCGTCCTTGGTTCGATAACCCCAGTTCATTTGACATAGTTTTCGGGCGACATGACTGCACATCGCTTCTTACTTTAGTCTAGTAGACATTTCATATAGTTTTGGCATAAGTTTTAAGGCCTGATACCCTTCCTGACGCCAACCTTATTTGATATAAGGCTAAATATATATAATTTGTTCTAATATTCAAACCACAGCGGTTATATCGAACTCCGTTCTATTCTAAAGCGGGATTATTATAAAATAATGAAATAAAATAAAGGAGGAAAATCTCCTTTCTAATTGGTTGCTACTGAGCATACAAACCATTTTTCTTATAAAAAAAAAACAACTTGTTACTGAGTTGTTTGACAACTTTAGGAATAAGCTATACGCAGTTTTAAATTCTCTTTCTATAAACAGTACAAAGGTACAATGGTAAAGTAATGCGTTAACGTAAACAAGTGAAAGTTTCCAACATAAGATAAAAGCAGGTTAGTAAATAATACCTTTTATTTTTAGTTTACTTTCTCGGTTTTATTGTATATAACAGAGGGAAAGTATAGCGATCGGTCAAAAGAATGACGTACAGTACTTAAGAATTTTACATCTTTGGACTCGTGACCTTGAAACGTAGAGAAATGGAGAAAAATTCGCTGGGTTTTTCTGTATTTGTGTGTGTATAAGCTTAATAACTTCTGTACTTACGAAAATTTCAGCAACTTTACAGGGAGGTTCGTGTATTAGAGGGATTGTTGCCATTAAAAAATTTTGGAGGTTAAAGGTCAGGGAATCATGTGTCATATTTCGAATAGAGTCGGGCTTAATGAAGATTTTACTCATGATTAGCATTTAAAAATTGTTTATAAAACTCATATCTACCATCAAAATTAAGTTTTATCCCATTATATAATAATTAATCGTAGAAAAAAATTTATTTAAATAAATTATTATTATTTTTTTTTAAATTAATAATAAATTTGTAATTTCAATTTAATTATTTACAAAACTAATAATATATTTTTGTATGTGTAGTAAAACGTCGTTCAGTGGTAATGTCGTTTTGAAGTAATTATCCTTATGTGGCTAATTTCCCTGAAATTTCCCTATAAAAGTTTATTAAAAGCAGGCAGTTTCAGTATAGTTTATTGAGATCCTTCCAATAGACTGTGTGTGCACATAAAATATACCTTTATTTACACTCTGCATATTATATTTATCTACACAATTTAGTAAGAAGAAACAGAATTGTATATTTATTCCATACACATAATTAAATATGGAATGTGACAAAGAGAAATTTTACGTGCTACATCGATGTTTATCTACAAGTTTTCGTCACCTTGGACGGCTGATTGGACGTCATCCATTGTATTTTGTTATAATCCCATTTGTGTTTACTGCTCTGTTCGCTTTGGGTTTATTGAGGCTACAAGTTATTAAAGATACGGAATATTTAGTTGTTTCAAAGAAAGGAAGAACTTTCAAAGTCAGAACAGAAATAGAGAAGTTCTTTCCGGAAAATGCTACAGATTTTGATTTTACACGAATGACAAGACTTGAAGGAATTAATATGATTATAGCGACTTGTAAAGATGGAGGAACAATGATGCGTGAAGACGTGTTTGATGAATTACAAATGCTAAACCGAAAGATTCTCGACGTAAAAATAAAATGGAAAGGACAAAACGTAACGTATTTCGATATCTGTATGAAATCGGAAGGGGAATGTTACCAAAATAATTTATTATCTTTAAAAACTAAATTTGAAGATGTCAGAAGAAAAAAGCTGCAAATTAAGTAAGTATTTAATTTTTATATGTTTATATTTTATTGTTCGACTCTTATAAATTGCCATCATTTTCTTATAATTGATAATAGTGTGTAGTGTTCTAAACATATTATATAATTCTAAATAATATCGAATTATATAAATAAGAATAGTGAAGATAAACAAAGTAAATTTATCAGACGTATTTTTTTTATTAAGTTATGAGGATTAAAAACGTTTGTACTGTACCTGTTAATAGTATCGATAGGTGAAGTTTATTGTTTTTAATCGTTTGATTTATTTCTATAAGGAAACGCGACACATAAGAGGAATTTCTAAAGAAAGTTGGTCTCTATTTATGTGTTACAAACGTGAACTGATCCAGAACACTCCACATGATCAACCCCAAGGCGCCAATCTCCGACCTGGGTACAATACGTGTGTACTTTTCCTTTCAGATGATCGATCTGTAAGATCGGATCAGTCTTTGCAACGTGAAACAGATCACTTCTGGAACGATCCTACCCTCCGCTCGGATTAATTTGATCGCGATTCAGTTGATTCTAGATAGGATTTAGTTGATTTCAATGCAAGGATAGAGATTGATCAGATCACTATAGCTCGTTTGTGTACAAGATTTGAACGATCACATTAGTATTGGATCTGTTTGATTACAAATGTATATGCATCCTCTGTGTTACGTGCTTAATACATCAGGCAATTTGCGAATTTTGTTTTATATTGTTTCAATATATGAAAAGTCACAAATGTATGTTACTATTAATTAATAGTTATAATTATTCACAATAATAAACTAAGTACGTGTTTCTAACGTAAGACTTCTTACAATATCTAATATACTGTATTGTAATTATATTTTTCACAGATATCCGATGGAGATAAATTCATCGCATATTAGTGTAGACGCTATCAATTTAGGAGGGGTTTCAACTGACGAAAACAGTTTTATAACAGATTTTCAAGCATTTCGTTTACTCTATTTCGTCGATTATCATAATTCCAGCAAACAGGAAATTGCAAAAAAATGGGAAGAAGAATTTCTTAAAACTGTTTCTCAAAATTCCTTCGTTCACATCCGCTTATCAAAAATGAGTGGAATTAGTGTCGATAATGAAGTTAATACTATATTTGTAAATATTGTATGGCATATTATTATTAGTGGAATATGTATGATGATATTTTCAAGTGTAACCTGTCTGACGAAGGACTGGGTGACAAGTAAACCGCTGATTGGTGCTTCCGGTTGTATTTCATCTTCGTTTGCTGTGGTAACTGCCTACGGGTTCTTATCTCTCTGTGGTATGAAATATAATGACATGTCTGTAATTGTTCTATTTATTGTTGTAGGTTAGTATACAAAATGTATTTATTTTTCGAAACTCGAATGTAATTTTAATTAACGATAGGTTGAATGTATTCTACAGGTATCGGACTGGATGACTCATTTGTTCTGTTAGCTGCTTGGAGAAAAACGAATCCCAAAGATTCTGTTGAAAAGAGAATGAGTGAAACGTACTCCGAGGCTACAATATCCATTACTATAACATCTTTGACTAACGTTGCGTGTTCGTTAATTGCATTAACTACTCCTTTTAGAATTATCCATATTGTTGGAAGTTATATGGCTTTGAGTATTTTCATAGATTACATCTATCAAATTACATTCTTCGGCGGATGTCTTGCACTGGATGGTTATAGAGAAGCAAAGAAATTGCATGCAATACTCTTCGTTCCTGTTAAGCTGGATGAACGACCATCAGGTAACATAACAATTAATCATTAAGTTAACCATTAAGTAATTAATGAACATGTAAATAAAGTATGATGGCATCGTACTTTAACTATATTTTAATAATCGAAGTAAAATTGTTTATAAACACCTTGTCACTAATGTAATGAATTTCGTATATGATAAAATATGATCGTGTCACTCTATTTTATAGAATAGTTTTGTTTTCGAAAACTAGTGCTTTTATTTTGTTTTAATAATTTACACAAAAGTATTTATATTCACTTAACATAATGAATCACGGAATATAGTAAAAATACGCTTCTCGTAAAGTAGAACACAGCATTGATCGTAAACTGTAAGGTAGATCATAAGTATGGGAATTCCCCGAATTACGAACACCCGATTTCCGGACTATTACTGTATCGGCTGTTACATGTAATAGGGGAAAAGTATGGAAATCGGTCAAAAAATGACCCGAAAAATTATTAGAGTTGATAACTATTTGCTTTCATTAGTAATTAACAGATATGTCTAACATTTCCAGGCCAAAGAGTAAGAAGGATAAACGATGTAATGAAAACTATATGTCAAGTCTGTTTATTTTAGCTTTCCCATTGTTATGTTTATCACGAAAAGTCGAGATCAAATTGGAAAAGAATGAGGTGTCCAGATATCATAAAAGTCTATACTTTCCTCGAGTCATAAAAAATAAATATGAAAAATTTGGTGCAGATCGGATAGGTTTAAGAGTTACTAACTTAATCTACACTAAACTAAAAATACAACATTTAATAATCATATTTTTAAAATAAAATAATAAAAAATGGCTAATAAATACTTTATATTTATTTTTTTTTATTTTTCTTTTAGGTTTTCTGGGATTTATAAAGTATGGCTGTTATTCAAGTGAAGATATTGAAGGCAAAACAACAATGACATGTTACAGAAATCATTTAGGAAAGATTCTGGCGATCCCAATAGTAAAAGCAACTATTATTATTCTTTCTTTGTTGTATCTCGCTGGAGGAATCTATTTTACGAAATATCTACGGCCAACGACAGGTATCGATAAGGCATTTAACGACAATTCCTACATGATAAACTTCCTTCGTGATGAAAATATATTCTATTCGCAATATCGAGATAGAATACAGATAATTGTTACCTCGTCACTGGATTATTCCGATCCAAACATCCAGAATAATATAGAGAAATTAACGACAGAACTGGAGAATTCTCCTCATATGGCCGGAAGTAATTTCACGGAATCGTGGCTGAGACAATATCTGAAATTCACTAAAAATCCACAGTTTTGGTTGTCTCTCAGAGGATACAATTTGAGTCGACCCGAAGACTTCATCGATGCTTTACGCAAAGTATTTCTTAAATTCAAATGGGCCAAACGCTTCAACAAGGACATTGTATTCAATGACAATGGCACTAAAATATTAGCTTCTAGATTTTTTATGCAAACAAAACTGGTTGATGATTCGCTGAAAGCAAATGAAGTTTTTATTAATGTGTGGAATGTAATAGATAAATATAATCTTCCGGTACAATGTTACGATTTTCGATTTATTTTCTTTGATTATACTCTTGAGGCTGTTCCTACAACAATTCAATCAATAGTCGTTAGTTCTTGCGTAGTTATTTTGATATTTATCATTTTCATTCCAAATTTGTTTTGTGCATTTTGTATTGCATTCACAATAGCTTGTATTGAGGTAATAAGTATAGGCTATATGTCTGTATGGGGTGTTACTATGATGCCTATAATAACGATTTTATTGATAGCGATTACCGGATTTTGTACGGACTATGCAGCTCATATATCGTATGCGTATGCAAAAAGTAAAAGAAAGAATCCGAATGAAAAACTGCGCGATTGTTTGGATGCTGCTGGTCACGCGATAGTGCAAGGTTGCCTTTCATCACTATTAGGCATTTTTGTTTTAATAGGAGCTCCGTACGATTGCATGAAAGATATGTTTAAATTATGTTTCATATTTTTTATTTCTTCCATAATTCAAGGGTTATTTATTCTTCCAGTTATGTTGTCATTATGGGATAATTTTCTGTTATTATGTCAAAGTAGCAAGAGACAGCGTTCGGATGAGGAATCTTCAGATGCTCCGAATACGAAAGAAGGGTTGTTAAATTAAAAAGAATAATTAATCCAAAAATTCCATAATCTAAAAAATATAAAATATTTATGGCACTGGAAACTGTTAAAGATCGATGTAACGTAACATCGATTACGACGTTGAAAAATGAATATACTATATATATATTGTTTATATTGTTTCCAGAAATAAAATGTGACTAGCAATGAGTTAATTTGAATTTTGATACTTTAATTAGTAAGTAAATTCTTATTTTATTTATTGTTTTATTATAAATATATAGTTAAAACATGTACGATCTTTATAATGCCTGATATACAGTATTTCAATTTTAAAAAAATTATTATTCTAGATAATTTACTGTCTTCACTGCATTTTTATTATAAAATTTAACATATACAGTTTTTATTATTTGTTATTTTTTGGTTTTAATTATAGTTGATGGTCTGGTAGTTGCTAATTTGTATAAGATAAATAAAAATTAGTAGATTAGATAATAAACAGATCTAAGTGGCATGCTGATTTTCGAGTGAATCCTGTCGTCAATGTTAATTTCATATTGGTATTGTCAAAGAATGTCGTATAATAAAAATTAAAAGACAAAGTCGTTCTAAAAATATATATTTCAGACGATTACCATTTTTACAAAGTGTTCTAGAACAAAGTACAGACAGCTGGACCTTCCTTTTTAGGCTACACAACTGCCTATATTTAAAAAGTTCCTTAAAAACACAAAAAAACCAATAAATATTAAGAAAAAATCTTCTTTAAAATTGGAATGGTAAATCTTACGACGTCTTGTTACTTCATCTTTGTCCATTGGGTTTCTGGCTCTTTGGCTCTTTATCTACTGAGGATTAGCGCTGACAAATGTAGATTAGGCCGATATCCCTCTGGTGACGAATTATAGCGATATATTTGGATTTCCGTNAAAGAGCCAGAAACCCAATGGACAAAGATGAAGTAACAAGACGTCGTAAGATTTACCATTCCAATTTTAAAGAAGATTTTTTCTTAATATTTATTGGTTTTTTTGTGTTTTTAAGGAACTTTTTAAAATATAGGCAGTTGTGTAGCCTAAAAAGGAAGGTCCAGCTGTCTGTACTTTGTTCTAGAACACTTTGTAAAAATGGTAATCGTCTGAAATATATATTTTTAGAACGACTTTGTCTTTTAATTTTGTAAAAAGTAATTTATTCATCTGACGGAAATCCAATGTCGTATAAATTAGAAAATATAGATTACTGTATTAATTATGTTATATTTTAGCGTGTTTCCAACCTGGTTAATAATGATTCCCCGCGTTAGTCGACTTATCTAGAGCAGTCGAGAGCAGCCCGAGAAATTCTAATAAGCATCCGTAGAGACATTGTCAATGTTATTTTATTTTCCAGTTTACTGCATGGGGTCATTTTACAACCGTAATTAACCTTATATTCGTGACAAAATACATTAACAGTAAACTTGACCCAGTAAAAGAATAAAAATAAATTATATAATTTATTAATTACTAGTTTGCACATCATTGTAATGTAGTAGACTATATTATTTTAGAATCTACTGTACTGAAGGAATGTTAATATTCTGCATGCTTAAAGCTTGCAATTTCGCAAGAAAAAAAATTACATGTGAGCCTCTGGAAGCCTATGAAGTTTACTTGTGGCCCTCTGGAAGTCTATAAAGTTTACTTGTGTCTCTTTGGAAGCCTATGAAGTTTACTTGTGGCCCTCTGGAAGCCTATGAAGTTTACTTGTGGCCCTCTAGAAACATATGAAGTTTACTTGTGGCTCTCTGGAAGCCTATGAAGTTTACTTGTAATTGCATCCACACGAGGTTGTTCATTACTGTTCTAGAGGGTTAATAAGCGAATAAAATGCAATATATATTTCATATATCAAGCAAGACTTTTAAGAAAAAATTTAATCTAAGTATCTTACATTGTATTAAAATTACGTAAAAATTAAAAATTTCCTTTGTGAAGGGAGGATTAATTATTAATATCTTCTGATGTATTATTTTCTGTATCCATAATGTCAATAGCTTAAAAAATATTCTTTTATAATACACGAGCTTAGCACTTATTAAATTTGAATTTTTAAACATAAAAAAGGAAGCATCTTCACAACGGAGGCTCAAGCTTCCTTTACGATTCCTGTTATTAAACATATTATACTATTTGTCACCTTTGCAGGATTACAGTATACTGAGCGTAATGAAAAACTTGCGATATCACAGCCTGCATTCAAATACAAGCACCAGTGTTTATATACTCTCCTCCTAGAAACAGGAAGACTGCTGAATGAACCATTCAGTTTTCGCTGTCAGCCTGCATCTTTCCGAAGAAATTATATATATCTATATATATACTAGCTGCAAGGACCCGCTTCGCTGGGTTTTTAAAAAGTAACAATAGTGAAGATTAAGATACATTATAGCCAATCTTACCCGTTTTCACAGAATGCAAGAATTAGGTCCCCCGTTTCCAGACTAATTAGAAACCTGGTCCGATTCTATTTCTGAACGTCTCCTGTTCACGTCCAGTCAAACGAACTATTTTCAACGTTTCTGGAGCGTTTACAATCGTTCTATAATCGAACTAATATTCGAATGTTTTGTTCGAATTTGTTCGAATTAAATTCGAATATAAAATTCGAATATTGATTCGATTATAGAACGATTGTAAACGTTCCAGAAACGTTGAAAATAGTTCGTTTGACTAAACGTAAAAATTCTCTAATTAGTCTGGAAACGGGGGACCTAATTCTTGCATTCTGTGAAAACGGGTAAGATCAGCTATAATGTAATTATCTTAATCTTCACTATCGTTACCTTTTGTCCAGCGAAGCGGGTTCTTTCAGCTAGATTCTAGATTACTTAAAAAAACAGTCTTTTATATATATTAAAAAAGCTGTATTACATACAAATAAAAACCCAGCGAAGCGGGTCCTTGCAGCTAGTTAGTTATAAAGTTTATTTAAAATTTTTAAAAATAAGTTTACGTTTTATTTCCCAGTGTGTTATGTATCTGTAACAAGGGAAAGTATTGGTATGGTATGTATAATGGGCCTTGATTCTAGTAAATTTTGGATGTGGAAGGTCGAGAGGATGGAGAGATTTCACTCGTTTTTAGCATATAATTTTTGTTTATATATATAATAAAACTCATCACTGCACTCAAAAATCCCACCAGAAAATATCTATTGGATTTCTGTAAATCAATTAATTTCTATCTATTAATACAATACATTTGCTGATTTACACGTAGCGCCGTCTATTGGCAAAATAATTAACTAAATAATAAACTAAATATAATTCTTATAAAAAAAATATAACTTTGAAAAATATATATATTATATTTACTTAATTACTGCGACAATAATATAGCGCTAAATAGACACGCTATATAATTACAACGACAGGTAGCATATAGATAGCACTTGCTTGCGTGCAATCGGAAGTGTTACCCTGTGAAAAATATATACGCATTCAATTTTTTTTCACTTCTGAAGGGCACCCTCTTAATCTTAATAACAGCCTTTCAGTAGCCGGGTGCGTAAAACCACTGAACTCTGGTAGTTAGTCGTGGATTCGGGGGGCTGGCCACGTGTCGTTTTCCATGGTTTCTTCACCTAAATAGGCTCCAGCTTCCCATAAAAGATTTCTTGGGATGCAGATCACTCAGTAACCAAACTAATTCTAACAAGCGATTATTTATCGTAACGTCGTCACAATGCCGAGCTGCGATTTTTCGCTACAATATTTTAGTAGTAATCTTGCCCCTGTACATCATACTTTTCCTTTAACAAAAGAGTCGTGCCGATCACCTAACACCTTTCGGGAAGAAAACTTTTGAATTGAAACAACGTGACTTCCGATACGAACCGGAAATTTGTGTATAGTTAATCGGGACCTCCTACCCCTAAACTTTTAAAATCTGCTCTCGACTGCCTTACATTTATCTAACATCATTCTCGGGATTAAGAAAAGACAGACAGACAGCCGGATGACAGTTGTAACTTATAGATCTATCAATATAATTTTTTCAAATTGCATTCCAATAAATTTACTAGGGCCTACGATTTAATATTTACTTTTGACATGTAAATTAGATTACCGATATATCTAAAGAAAATTTACTAATAATATTAGATCGTTTAGTGTAATATTAGTGGGGTAATTCCTTTTCATTGTACTCTTCTAAAACCCTTTTTCGTTGGCTTTCCTCATTGATTAGGTCTATATTTCTGAGAGTTAAGCCATATTTAACAACACGATACGAATAAATTTAAAATAGACAAATAAAATAATAAATACACCTGAAAATTTGAAAAAATAAATTGAATGAAAATTAAAATAAGTAGCACCGAAATTTGTAAAAAAGTAAAAAATACAATAAAAACAAAGAAGGATTAATTTAAAAGGGGGAATTACTACTTGTTGTTAACAATTGCGTGTGTAATTAAAACAATACCCAGTATTGGAAAAAAATACCACGTTTCTATAAATATGACATTATAACCGCAGATCCTGTTGGCCATTATCTGACTGTTTTACTTCTTAAATAACTTCCATTACACTTTCAACTTAAAATAAAATTTAATTTTTTAAACATTTAATACTAATGTCTTAACTCTTCTGTCTTTATTTATTTGTCTCCACCCTTCTGATTTTATCTTATGAGGTTTTATAATTTGAGTCTGTTTTGTCATAAACAATATGAGGGAATTTAATATCCTCCAATATTTATGTACAGTAACAGTTTGCACCTTTTGGGAATTTTCACGCTATATATATATATTACTAAAGATAATGAATAAAAATAGGAAGTCATGTACACTTAGAATTATAAAATTTGTGTGGCTCCATCTCTTATAATATTTTATTATAACAGCTTACAATACTTTCTGTTTTTAGGCAACAACCGGAAAATTAATGGAGGAAAAAAGCACTTTCTGGCAGTTTGACAAACATTTTTTTAAAAATATCTAATATTATTACTGTTGTTTGACTACTTTCATAAGCCGTAAGCAACTCGATATGCAGTTTATATGTACTGTACAAAGGTATTACGTTCAAGTAACTCTAGATTTATTTATCGTCCCATTATATGATAATAAATGATATTTCAAATGATTACAGTTACTATTTTATTGATAGGTTCTATCCTGTAAAATAATGTTGTGTTTCTATAGTGGCTACTACTAAGAAAATTTGCTGCTTAACGAAGAGAAATGAGAATTATCGTTATAAGTTAATACAAGGTAAGTATTTAATAATTTTTTTTTGTATTTTTATTCTTTCCATTTTGAGGGTGCTCACCAGTATCAAAATCTACTTTATCACGTGGAACTTTTCGGTTGTTTAAGTGTGTAACACCTTAAACAGGGACCAGTTTTTTTTACATAAGTTCTCTCTGAAAGGTATCGTCTTGGAAGATCGTTCATGTTTTGCGTTGTTTATAACATGATAAAGTTTAAAACTATATTTTACAAGTAAGAATTCTATAGAATGGCACCTTTAAAAGTTAATTTAACGCATTGATAAAGCTATTGTGTACAGAAAAAAATTCCACATTTCAAGGTGAACTCTCACGTCTACAACTTGACTAATTTTTCCTCTTTTATTAGGTAATTAAATATACATTAGTACTTCAGGAAGTGACTTAAAAAGCCATATTTCTTTCCATAGATATAAAGTCTATTTAACATAGGCACGAAATACTAATTAATTAATTATAATGAAGACCGATAAATATTGGCAATAATATAATATAGCGTACAGTAAATCAGCTTTATCTTTATTATATTGAAGTATCAATCTCTTTCATTGAGAGGATCATTTGTATAAATTGTGTTGAGATAAAGTAATACTTCTTTCACAAATTAGTAAAGTACTATAAAGTGGTTCCAGTTAAAGTTAATTCAATTTCGTTATTGAATAAACTTTAACTAAATACCGTAACCAACACCTTATTTTTTGCTGAGGGAGTTTTATTAAAAACGAACGTTTTCGATCCATTAAGTGGATCGAAAACGATCCTTTAACTAAACAGAAATAAAACGTTTTTCAAAGCATTATTTGGAAATATAATGTATTATTCATGTAAAATGTACAGGTTCATATCATTAACTATTAGTATGTGTAGTATAACTTCTTATGGTGATATTATGATGTAAAAGTAAATATAAGTGTCACGTAATTTTTTAATGTTCTTGCCTGCGGACAAAGAATAAATTTACCTTGTATATATTCAATTTTTTAAACATTTATAAAAAATTAATTTTTGTATATATTTAGTTAATAACAATCAATTTGATTTTTCTAATTGTTTTTCGTGTTTTCAGGATCCTCGTCGAATGCGAAGTCTTGAAATAAACAATCTGTCAAATTTAACCTTGAACATATTTCGAGTGAAATATATCTAATTACAGATAAGCAGTAAAAACTGATAGTGTTTTTTTTTTAACTAACACCATTAAATATGCAGTGCGAAAAAGATAAATTTTATGCAGTTAATCGATATTTATCTTCAAGTTTTCGTCACCTTGGACGGCTGATTGGACGTCATCCATTGTATTTTGTAATAATACCATTTGTGTTCACTACTCTGTCCGCTTTGGGTTTATTTAGGCTGAAAGTTGTTAAAGATACGGAATTTTTATATGTTCCATCAAACGGAAGAACTTTGAAAGTCAGATCAGAAATAGAGAAGTTCTTTCCGGAAAATGCTACTGACTTTGATTTTACACGAATGATAAGATATTACGGAGCGAATATGATTATAGCTACGTGTAAAGATGGAGGAACAATGATGCGTGAAGACGTATTTGATGAATTACAAATGCTAAACGAAAAGATTCTCGACATAAAAATAACATGGAAAGGACAAAACGTAACGTATTCCGATATCTGTATGAGATCGGAAGGAGAGTGTTATCGAAACAATATATTGTCTTTAAAAACGAAATTTGAAGATGTTAGAAGAAAAAAGGTGAAAATTAAGTAAGTATTATTCTTTCATATTTGTTATTGTATTAATTTTTTGTTTTATTATGTACAGTACGTAACCAATTCGTTACATGAATAATTTTATAAGTGAGAAGTTTCCTCCTCACTTGCGCTTGTGGTGGCTGTTAAGTTATGGCAACGCAACACTTGGACGATCTGCCTAGAAGGGATGCCTTCCGGTAGGTCTTTTTAAGGAAAACTGGCCCCTGTTTAGGCGTTACAGACGTGGAGAAGACTCCACGTGGCCAGCTCGTCCGAGCGAGGCGTGAACCCACGACCGAACTCACAGTGTTTACCTGCAAATGCATATTTTAGTATGAAAATAAATATAAGTTGAAAGACATTCGATTGTTTTCTATCTATTGAAACTTAATTTCTGAACCTGTCGCATAAAATATTTAAATACGGTAGAGCGTCGAATATCCGAATTCAATTGGGGACTGGGGTTGTTCGGATAACTGGTATTTCGGATAACCGATTATGTACGAAAAAAATAGTTTAACGTATCCGATGTTGAAATTTTTCTCCGTTGCGTGTTGCTTCGCGTTGAATTTTCGTCGATGTTAAGCCTAACAAAGACTATTGTATCGTTAAAAATTATTTTTTTATTTTGTACAAACAAAATAACTATATTGAAAAGTATAAAAACAATAAAAAGTATACTTCAGAAGTTAATTTAGTATCAAAAACGTAAAATATTTGAGTAGCCCAAGATATAACCAAAGATTGCAGCGCCACAGCACTAGCGAAAATTTAAATTTGCCGACTGGAATTCTTTCGGATAATTGACGTTTTGGATGATTGATTTTCGGATGATCGACGCTTTACTGTAATAATATCTTTTGTTATAATTTACAATATTTTCCTAACAGTATTGTGGTTTTATTTATATCAATGGCAGAAGTGCATTTATTGAGAAATAGTTATAATTACTCAAGCAAAAGAGTGTGAAACTTTTCCTATAAAAAATAATAATACAAAAATATATTGGCACAGAATAAAAAATTTTTGGCGCTATCAGTTACGAGATTTTGTTTAAAAATAACTTTTATATAATTAATTATTATAAAATGGCAAAAAGCTTAATATTAAGAGTAGAAATGAATCGTATAAAATAAATTTTAAATACTAATAACGAGTAAAATTTTCATTTATTCCAACTCCATATTTAAATTTTCATGTGCCATATGGTCCATTTCTATCCGTGACACCAGTAAATGCAATTTTTATTTTATTATACAATATTTATATATATTATTTATGTTTTTCGTGTTTTAATTCACTATTCGGGCATTTAACTGTGTTGTTTTTACCTTATATTATGTTTATTTCATGTTTTAAGTTTATTGAAATGGGTAGTGTTCAGGGTCTGGTTATGGATTAATTCACTTACTTCTTTTTAATTAACAGGTATCCGATGGAGATAAATTCATCGCACATTAATGTAGATGCTATCAATTTAGGAGGGGTTTCAACTGACGAAAACAGTTTTGTATTAGATTTTCAAGCAGTTCGTTTACTCTATTTCGTCGATTATCATAATTCCAGCAAACGGGAAATGGCGGATAAATGGGATAAAGAATTTCTGAAAATAGTCTCACAAAGTTCCTTCGTTTACATCCGCGTATCAGTAATGAGTGGTATTAATATTGACAATGAACTTACTAATGTATTTGTAAACATTGTATGGTATATGATTATTAGTGGAGCATGTATGATAACATTTGCAAGTGTGACTTGTCTGGCGATGGATTGGGTGAGAAGTAAACCGCTAATTGGTGTTTCCGGATGTATGTCATCTTTCTTTGCTGTGGTAACTGCCTTTGGTATTTTACTACTCTTCGGCATGAAGTATACAGAAACAAATTTGGTTATTCCTTTTATAGTTGTAGGTTGGTATATGAAATATATTTTAAAATAGATACGTTATTCAATTTAAATTAAAACTCCCAATTGGTTGAATGTATTTATCCTTCAGGTATCGGACTGGATGACTCGTTTGTTCTGTTAGCTGCTTGGAGAAAAACCAACCCCAAAGATTCTGTTGAAAAGAGAATGAGTGAAACGTTCTCCGAGGCTACCATATCGATTACCATAACGTCTTTGACTAACGTTGCGTGTTCGTTAATTGCGATAACTACTCCTTTCGGAATTCTCCAAATTGCCGGAAGTTACATGGCTGTAAGTATTTTCATAGATTACATCTATCAAGTTACGTTCTTCGGCGGATTTCTTGCACTGGATGGTTATAGAGAAGCCAAGAGCTTGCATGCTATACTCTTTGTTCCTGTTAAGTTGGATGAAAGACCATCAGGTAAGATAGTAAATAAGCATTACGTAAATCATTAAATACTTAGTTAAATTTCATTTAAAAGATATACAGGTTACTTACATTTAGATTTTATTAATTATTATTTTTTACAATTTTTCTTTTTATAAAATTCATTTCCATCGTCAAAATTAAGGTTTCTGCTATTTTATANTTTTAACGTGTCTTTTTAATGTCAATAAAATCATGCAAGTCCCAAAGTGATTACAATAAACAGTCTGCTGTATTTAAAATATTTTTGAACAAAATTTTCTATTGATTTAGGAATTGTTGAATGTTAAACTTTAATTATTTATTTTCAATAATAATAATATTTGTAATTAAAATAAAATTATTTCAACACAGATTCACATGGTAATGTAGAGTGTAATTGTCTTCCTGGACATCGTGGTTCAGATTGCCAGCTATGCACTGCTGGATATGAATGGAAAGAAAATCATTGCATTCCGTTTAATTGTTACAGCAATACAATTTGTAAGAAAGATAAAAGTGCTCCAGGATGTGAGGAATGCACATTATTTGAAGAATCTTCTAATCATCTTCCTCCAATACCTCATAAATCTGGTAAAAAGATTTTTATATATTAATAAATAAGTAATTAGTTCAAATAATATAGGATATCTACAATTTATTGACTGACTGAATTAAGATATTTGATAAAACATAACCATAACAAGTATAGGAAAATATTTTTTTCAGCAAATACAGCAACCCAAAAAGTTGTTTTATCACAAAGCTAAAAGGATTTAAGAAATATAATAAATTTCAACAAGGAGTACTTTCAGTAGTACATACAATATTCAATCTGTAATTAATTTCAATCATAATGTATCTTGTTATTTATGAGTCTTTCTTGTTTCTCAACATATCTTGGAAGACTGAGCAGTGGGCTTCCACTGACCAATGTTTCAATTCTGCATTGTTGATAATCTTTTCACATATTCTGTCCTATATGTAACCCTATGAAATACTCTGTCATGAAATCTGTTGGAGATTGGAATAGGGACATGGCAGCCAATTCATTTACCAGGACATTCTTAGAAACAAATTTCTGGGCATTCCTAAAAATTTTTTGTTGCTGTATTCAATGAAAAGAATCTCATGTTACGTGTTCTGATTAATTTTTTACTTTTCCAGCTGTTATATATAACAGAGAGAAAATATGGTAATTGGTCAAAAAATGACCCTCCCCAAGATTTTTACATTTCTAGACTTAGAACACCTTAAAATGTCAAGATGTTTAAAGTGTGTGGGAAGGGTACAATTTTGTTCATCCTCTTTGAGGCTTAATAACTCCTGTGCTTTCTGTCAAAAATTTATGAAATTTTGCAGGGAGGTTTGTTTATTAGGAGGATTGATGCTATTAAATTTTGGTAGTTAAAGTTTGAGGAGGAGATAAAGGGAGATCATGTGTTATATCTCAAGTAGGATTGGACTTAATGATGATTTTACTTGCTAACATTTACAATTTTTTATAAAACCCATCTGTACACTCAAAATTAAGGTTTCTGCTATTTTATAATAATTAATAATACAAACGTTATTTTTTTAAAAGAAAATTTAGTAACTGAGTCACAGACAATTTGAATTTTCTGTTAGTATGCGTTACTTGTTAGTGTTTTTCGCCGATAAGTGTACGCAATTCATTGCTTGAATTTTTCTGATAAAATTATGAAATCTTTCTTACTCTATACTTCTTCAAATGTTGTTTTCTTATCTCTGACATTTTCTATGCGTAATGTTTCTTATTTCTTATGTTTCTTATCAAAACAGCGGTGATTAGTTCTATTCAACTTTTGTTATTATCTTCCTTATTGTAAGCGTAACGAGCTTAGTAAGACCCACTTAGCTCCCACAGGGCAAAAAGACTAAATAAAAATTATGAAAATTGTCTTTTCCATATCGTCATTTTCAATTCATTTTTCTTGTAAAATTAATTGAAGAAGGAAATATATTTGTAATATGCCTTATGATTAAAAAGATTAATATTGTACACGAAAGAATTTGTTCGAATTTTAGTAAATATTATTTTCATTCTTACTCTTCTTTCTTCTAAATATCATTGTGTAATGTTAATTAACGTAATTATTTATGAGTAATACAAAAATATAACAACAAACATAATTTTAAACTAATTGAAAATATATTAAAATTATTTTTTTTATTTTTTTAGGTTTACTGAGATTTATAAAATATGGCTGTTATTCAAGTGACGGTAATGAAGACAAAACAACAATGAAATGTTACAAAAACCATTTAGGAAAGCTTCTGACGTTTTCAATTGTAAAAGCAGCTATTATTATTTTTTTTCTTCTGTATCTCGCTGGAGGAATCTATTTTACGAAATATGTACAGCCAATGACAGGAATTAATAGAGTATTTAACGACAATTCTTACATGCTGAACTTCTTTCGCGATGAGAATACATTTTTTTCGCATTATCCGGATAGAATCCAGATAATTGTTACCTCGTCATTGGATTACTCCGATTCAAACATCCAGAATAATATAGAGAAATTAACGACAGAACTGGAGAATTCTCCTCATGTGGCCGGAAGTAATTTAACGGAATCGTGGCTGAGACTGTATCTAAAATTCATTAAAAATCCACAGTTTTGGTTGTCTCTCAGAGGATACAATTTGAGTCGACCCGAAGACTTCACCGATGCTTTACGCAGAGTATTTCTTAAATTCAAGTGGGCCAAACACTTTAACAAGGACATTGTCTTCAGTGACGATGGCGATAAAATATTAGCTTCCAGATTTTTTATTCAGACGAAACTGGTTGATGATTCGCTGAAAGAAAACGAAGTATTCATTAATCTCTGGAATATAATAGATAAATATAATCTTCCGGTACAGTGTTACAATTATCGGTATATTTTCTTCGATGTTATCTTTGAGGCAATTCCCACGGCAACTCAATCAATAGTCGTTAGTTCTTGCGTAGTGATTTTAATATTTATAATTTTGATACCGAATTTGTTTTGTGCATTTTGTATTGCGCTCACAATAGCTTGTATTGAAGTAATAACTATAGGATATATGTCTGTATGGGATGTTACATTCTATCCAATAGTGACAGTATTTTTAATAGTGATCACAGGATTTTGCACGGATTATGCAGCTCATATATCGTATGCGTACGCGAAGAGTAAAGGAAAGAATCCTAATGAAAAACTGAGAGATTGTTTGGACGTTGCTGGTCACGCGATTGTGCAAGGTTGTCTTTCTTCTCTTTTCGGCGTCGTTGTTTTAATAGCTGCTCCGTACACATTTTTTAAAGATATGTTTAAAGTATTTATCATATTCATTATTTCTTCTATAATTCAAGGGTTATTTATTCTACCAGTTATGCTGTCATTGTGGGACAGTTTCCTGTTATTATTATGTAAAAGTGACGACAGGAAGCGTTTAGATGCAGAGTTTGCAGATCTTCCAAATACGAATGAAGTATTGTTAAAATAAAAAAATTTTTTATTTAGTTATACAAAATTGCGGTAGAATTGAAGTAATATATATTAAATTTCTTTTAATTAACAATTTAATATATATAGTATAATGTTATATTGGCTACATTATAGGGAATTGTTTGAATAGAAGCAAACTTCTTACATAATAATGAAGTGGTATACTCACTGCAATATTGTTTGAAAAATCTATACTCTGAGAAACGTCGAATATTCTAAGCAATGCGAAGCGTCAAAACCACATTCACCGCGCGTGTGATTTGAATTACGTATTTTTAAAAATGTTTATTAGTTTGTTGTTTATTTTTATACCATTATTTGTGTTTTAATACATATTATTGTTTAGTAAAATTTTAAATATTATACTCACTTCTTCCAATAATATTTAATAACTATTCTGATAGCTTCGGTATTTATAGATTTAACAAAGGATTTATATACCTCTCAATTCTGAATGGTGAAAGTGTGCAGATTTTATCTGCGAATAAATAACCTAAGTTGTTTAATAAGTGTCTTATGTAATAGAAAATACGTAGTCAAGAATAAAATTTGAAGTGACAACCGTTTACGATCTGCTCAATGATCTATTTTTCTTTTTGTTTGTTGTTATTAATCATTGTTCGTTCTTAATATTATTGATATGTAATACGAGTATAAATTGACGTATTATTGGTATTTTTGACATTGCAGCCAATAAATTTATTTACTTGATGACACTTGTTGATCACTACGATAAAGAAAAAAAGCCCGAAAAGTAAACAATGAGTCAAATGATTGTTTTGTGCATCAAACTAAATAAAGGTCCCCCAGAGAGGTCAAATTAGGCCTTACCATTTTCGTCCATTTGGCCGTCATACCTTGATGTAAGCTTCTATTGATACATTGTATTCGTTAATAGAAATGCTACAGAAGACATCAGAAATATCTTCTTATTTGTAAATAATATTGAAATTGAAACTACAATATATTTATGCCTATATATTGATCAAGATTTAAGATGTATGCACGCATTGGTAAGCTTTTTATATTCTCTGGAGAATTTCTTTGGTGTAAGGAATAAACTAATAATGAATTTGAAAAACAAAAGGAGTAATTTAAATGGTTTCTAGTAAATCAATAGAATTTCTAATGCGGCCTAAATTAAAATATGAAAAATAAGTAAATAATGTACAATTCTCTAATATTTTTATTTTCCCCTTTATAAAATTCTATACATAGGATCTCTTTAGACAATAGGATATATGTATAAAATATATTTCAAAATTATATTGTATGGAGCATTATCTTCATATAAAAACCCTGTAGAAAATTTTAAAAAATAGAAAATATTTAATTTAAATATAAATAAGAGTTTTTTTGAGTAATTGTAAACACTTCTGAATAGTATTGAGAAAACAAAGCAAGAATAAGAGAGGAATGTTGCACTTTCTTTTCTAAAAAAAAGCGTCAAAGAAATGGAGAAGAAAGTCGAATTAAATTTAGTTTTATGTATAAACAATAATATATCTTAACAATAATTTTATAAGATGATATAGTTATTTAAAGAAACGTGACTGATACACACGCATTGACTATTAACACAACTTCCACGTTCTACCGGATGTTGAAGAAGGTCCAATCACGTGACTTACCTCAGGCTTTGTTTACTTTTAAACACGGTTAATAAGTACAGTACGTAGATAATTGTTATCGTTCAGATCTTAGATGCATTATCGAACGAAGAAAAATCTCGGAATCCGCTTTATTTATTTATTAAATGTGTTATTTCGTTAAACTGTCAACCTGTAATCATTCGGAGAAACGGACACCCTTTCGAATTATCCGCAACCTCACCGTTTAATTTTTTTATACCATAAACAAAGGAAACAAGTCTTCCAGGAACACTCGAGTGGCCTTTACCAGATCGTCGCCGATCAAAGGGAATTTAAGGAGGCGTGACATTTGTGTTCTGTAAAGCAACGAGCTGATACTAATACTGATTTTACCCCATAGATGGCGCTTCCCATTAACAAAGAGACAACACACTGTAATGAGACAAGCCTTTCTTTTAAGTATACAGTAATTTTATTTTACGAAGGTTAGCGTTATTCACAGCCAATCAGAGAAAAAATTAGCAAAATAAATGTACTCAGTGCTGACTAAATTGTATGTAACACGTAAAGTTACATGAATTGGTAATCCTTAAAAAACTATAAAGTCATGCTATTATGCTTGATAAGAACTTGAGTAAACTCAACATAAGTATAGGCCTATTTATTTAAATAATCGATCCACACAATAGATGGAATTTTACAATAGTAGACTATACAACAACACTACTAATAAAAAAGGGAAAACCATATTTACAAGAGATTCAGGGGGAGTAAAAACAACATCCAGTTTAACATTGAGAGAAGAACAGCACATCCCCTGTGATTCATTCTTCTATTTCAGAGCACTGCAGTATTTCACATACTTTATCCATAGATCCAATATTAATTGATGATTAATAGTCTAAATGGGTGTCACGAATAAAGATATTTCGGAGCTTTTTGAGCCAAGGAATCATAGTACTCCTTGTACGCTCAGAGGGGACTTGGCGTTCTTTGTGAGAAATAAGCCTAGCCTGTCTATGAATCTCTAGAGTCTAGACAGTCTTACCTGTTTACTTCTCCTTGAAGATTCTTCGATGTTTTGTCTTTTCCAAGTAGGCATAATCATCGCTCACACAAATAAATAAAACTCAGGCAAATACAGTTAGACCTAACGAATCACGTACACAATACGTAACGGTTCTAAAAACCCCGTCGTGTGTACACGTACTGTAATCTAGCGTGATGACGTTACTTTTCTAATGCATCGGATATTTTTCTAATTGACTAATTATTTTTTAATGTCAGTTCTTCAAATATAAAATAATACACCTTTCTCCTTTACAGGAAGTACTAATTCATTAAGAATTGATTGTAATTTTTCTATTTGTTGATAAACTACACTAAAAGTGAAAGCTAATAATTTATTAACTCAATCTTACGATCATTACTGCTATAATTATAGTTTTCAATAGTAATACAGTATTACATATTCAAAATATTATCCATTTGAAATCTTATTCTTGCATTTGTATTAGACCAAATGCAGTAATTGTTAACGATTTATAAAGAGGAAAAACACCAAAAAAGAAGTAAAATTATTTAAATTAAAACTATTTTTATTCAGTGTTTTTGTTTAAATTACAAATATTCTTTACCTTTTATCATAAATACCATCATAATATTAGTATCTACAACTAAATCGTAAATTTTCATCACTCTATTTAAATTACAGATTTGTAATTAATAAATCCGACAATGGAAATTGTTACTTCTGTATGGAATTTATATAATAAACCTTTATATTAACAAACACGGAAATATTATTTCATTTATTTAATCATTTGTGTCTTCAACAATTGACACCAATAGACAACAAGTCAACGTCTCTTTCATATAATAAAAAATATCGAAGAGATAAAAAAATAATATACACAACAATGCAGTATCATAAGTTACATGAATTATCAATGTTATACATTAATTTCTACAAACTGTATAGCATTTCTAATTTAAAATCTGTAACTCATACATGTATAATGTTTTAAATTAAAGAGTTTCTTATACAATCGAAAATACATCGTCAAGAATAATAATTTAAAATGAAAACCACTTACAATGTGCTCTGAACTTATCTCAATTCCGAACTAACTCGCAGATAAAAGCTGCAGTTTGTCTTTTAAACATGCAATTTATATGGAAAGCCTTCGTTAATCTATAAATACAGCGGCCATCACATCAGCTATTATTTATCGTTTAAACAAGTGAATATAGTATTTAAAATTTTAGTAAACAATAATCTGTATTTAAGCACAAATAATGTTATAAAAATAATCAGAACAAATTAATAAACATTTTTAAAAATACGTAGACGGAGGTTAAATTACACGACGGAACAATGCGGTATTCTTAAAAGTCAATGCTCACAAATTAACGCTTTGTAATGCATAAAATATTTAACTTTTCTGAGATTTCTAATTTTTAAGTAATATAGTTGATCTCATTGGAATATACAATTCATTTTTTTTATTCCCACAAAAATTGTTAATTTTTTTTTTATTTTAACAATTTTTTATTTGTATTCCGAAGACCCGAAGACCCTTCGTCTGAATGCTGCCTCTCGTCACTTTTACATAATAATAACAAGAAACTGTCCCACATTGACAGCATAACTGGAAGTATACACAACCCTTGAATTATGGAAAAAGTAACGAATATGAAAAATGCTTTTAACATATCTTTGAAAAATCCGTACGGAGCGACTATTAACGTAGAAACTCCCAAAAGTGATGAAAGACAACCTTGCACAATCGCGTGACCAGCAACGTCCAAACAATCTCGCAGTTTCTCATTCGGATTCTTTCCTTTACTCTTTGCATACGCGTACGATATATGAGCTGCATAATCTGTACAAAATCCTGTGATCACTATTAATAAAACTGTCAATATTGGATGAAGTGGAACACCCCATACAGAAATATATCCTATAGTTATTACTTCAATACAAGCTATTGTGAGCGCAATACAAAATGCACAAAACAAATTTGGTATGAAAATAATAAATATCAAAATTACAACGGAAGAACTGATGACTATTGATTGAGTTGTTACGGGAACTGCTTCAAGAATATAATCAAAGAAAATATATCGATTATTGTAACAATATACCGGAAGATTATATCTATCTATTACAGTCCACACATTAATAAAAACTTCATTGTCTTTCAGCGAATTATCAACCAATTTCGTCTGAATAAAAAATCTGGAAGCTAATATTTTAGTGCCATCGTCACTGAAGACAATGTCCTTGTTAAAGCGTTTGGCCCACTTGAATTTAAGAAATACTCTACGTAAAGCATCGGTGAAGTCTTCGGGTCGACTCAAATTGTATCCTTTGAGAGACAACCAAAACTGTGGATCTTTAATGAATTTCAGATATAGTCTCAGCCACGATTCCGTGAAATTACTTCCGGCCACATGAGGAGAATTCTCCAGTTCTGTCGTTAATTTCTCTATATTATTCTGAATGTTTGGATCGGAGTAATCCAATGATGAGGTAACAATTATCTGAATTCTATCTCGATATTGTGAATAGAATGTATTTTCATCGCTAAAGAAGTTCAACATATAAGAGTTGTCATTAAATGCGGCATTTAATGACAACTCTTATATGTTGAACTTCGTTGGCCGTAGATATTTCGTAAAATAAATTCCTCCAGAGAGATACAGAAGAAAAATAATAATAATAGCTGCTTTTACAATTGGGAACGCCAGAATCTTTCCTAAGCGATTTTTATAACAAGTTATTGTTGTTTTGCCTACAATGTCTTCACTTGAATAACAGCCATACTTTATAAACCCCAGAAAACCTATTAGAAATATAGAAAAATAAGTATAAAATATCTTATATGTATGGTTGTTAGCGTATTTTTGCATTACAAATAAATAATTACGTTTATAAAAACAACAACAAAACGAAAATAACAGTTACAATCCGGTTAAATAACAATAAAAAGTCTTAGAATATATTCTGAAAGATAAATACTTCGAGCGAGATGATGTGTCACGAAATACAATCTGTGGTCAAACTTTCTAATGCAAAGATATGGATTCGCAAAAGAAAAAAAAGTATAAGATGAAGAAAGTAGAAGTATTCAAAATGTTGACTTACAAAGCATCGTCGATCCTTTGTACAACTGAAATATCAAATAAAGATTGTTTCACAAAAATTTACAATAGAGACAGAAATAAGTCTTGTATATGTATAAGACATATGAGACTAATTCTTCTTTGTAATCTACCAGACAAAAAAAAACGGAAAACGTAAACATGAAGAAGACAATTCAAGTCGTGAGGACAGAAGAGATTAAAAGTTGCCTTGATTTTTAAAAGTTTTTGAACTCCTATTAATCCTATTCAACTTTTCGCATTATTTACGTGGTTCTCGTTGTGAGCCATACCGGTATGTAAAAGGGCCTTTTTAATATAGTGGTGTGGTCACAACGAAGACCACGTAAATAATGCCAAAAGCTAAATAGGATTAATCGTTGATACTTTGATTAGAAACGTCAGAGATTGGAAAACATTTGACCGAAGAACACTGACTTCAATTAGGAGCAGGGGCCAGGCTATGTAATAAATTACAAGGACCTGAATTAACAAGTAAATAAATTATTTGAATATTTATTTCAAAGTTTCCTAAATTCAAAAAATATAAAAATCTTAGAAGGAGTTAATTTTTTGATCTATCGTTGTACTTTTTCNTTTTTACTTAATTTTTATATTTTTTATATTCTATATCTTTGAAATAAAAAATGTTAAATGGAAATCAAAATTACTTATATTTTTTATCACCTTAATTTTATTTTTCAGGAAAAAAATTTACCGGTAATTTACCGGTAAACCGGTATTTTAATTTTCATTTACCGAATTACCGGTAAATGAAAAAGTCGGTAAATTTACAATCCCTAATTGGGACCAACATAACAAAATCATTGTCGGAATAAACTTCAATGTTCGATACCATTCTTACCCCACGAAAGTTAACTAATTAGTTAATGATTAAAAAAATGCTTAATTATTATGTTACCTGATGGTCGTTCATCCAGCTTAACAGGAACGAAGAGTACTGCGTGCAAGTTCTTGGCTTCTAGATAACCATCCAGTGCAAGACATCCGCCGAAGAATGTAACTTGATAGATGTAATCTATGAAAATACTTAAAGCCATGTAACTTCCGGCAATTTGGAGAATTCCGAAAGGAGTAGTTATCGCAATTAACGAACAAGCAACGTTAGTCAAAGACGTTATGGTAATCGATATGGTAGCCTCGGAGTACGTCTCACTCATTCTCTTTTCAACAGAATCTTTTGGATTAGTTTTTCTCCAAGCAGCTAGCAGAACAAATGAGTCATCCAATCCGATACCTGGAAAATATATTGAGAGTTTTCATTTATCTCAAATAACATATCTATTTTTTTTTTTTTTAAATGTATTTTATACACCAACCTACAACTATAAAAGGAACAATCAAATTTGCTTCGGTATATTTCATGCCGCAGAGGAGCAACAGACCAAAGGCAGTTACCACAGCAAACGAAGATGAGATACATCCGGAAACACCAATAAGCGGTTTACTCGTCACCCAGTCCTTCGTCAGACAAATTACACATGCAAATGTTATCATAAATGCTCCACCAATAATAATATGCCATATAATATTCACAAATATATTATTAATTTCATTATCGACACTAATTCCACTCAGTTTTGATAGACGGATGTAAACGAAGGAATTTTGTGAAACTGTTTTCAGAAATTCTTCATTCCATTTATGCGAATTTTCCTGTTTAATGGAATTATGGTAATCGACGAAATAGAGTAAACGAACTGCTTGAAAATCTGTTATAAAACCGTTTTCGTCAGTAGAAACCCCTCCTAAATTGATAGCATCAACATTAATGTGCGATGAATTTATCTCCATCGGATACCTGGTTTAAAAAACAGACTAATTAGGATCTGTTAAAGTAGTTGTATCCTGTTGAAAAATATGTCCTTTTTAGTTTATTATTTTGACTAAATTGAATTTACTAATTGCGTACAGTACATTTCTCATTGATAAATTATTTGCACGTTCTCTAGCAATGACCCAACGCTACTTTACTACACGTTGTAAGTTTGGTTTGATGTACAGTACAGTACAGTACCGTATTTGGTTACGACAACGCGACACATGACACATGGGCGATTTGCCGTGGGAAATGCCTCCCCAGAAGCGAAAGACTTTTATGAGAAATTGATCCTATTTTGATGTTACTAACCTGAAGAGAATTTTAAAAAAATTCTCACTGCCAACACGTTGACCAGGCTTGTACCCCCGACCATCTACCAGTATTCGTACAAAAGCTTTTATATTACGTCTCAAAAACATCGCCCATGTTTTAAAACTTTCTTAGAATCACATCCGATGCTCTGAATTATCCCCTGATTTATTTATTCAAAGGAAAATTTTCGTAAAAACGTAATTATCAAAAAGGAAAAAAAGCAAGAAACAGTGCAGGCAAAATAAATTATGTAATAGGTATTTAGGACTCTAAATACTAGTTTAGAGAAATCGAGATAATTTATGTTCTATGACTGGACATTTTAGCAAAGGTAAGCGGAGCAGACTTACTGTAGCTCAGAATTATTACGGTCAGCTCATCTCTTAGCTGCAGTTCAGAATCGCAATCAGTTCATAGTTCAACTAAGCTTTTCAGATAAATTACTTCACTCTACGATAACGCTAACCACGTCCAGCGACAATATTCATTAAAATGCATTAATTTAATTCCATAAGTTTTGAATTTACATTTGTATTTTTGCTGGTAGGCCATATTATAAGATGCATAATAATATTGAAACATAAAATTAATACAATAACAAATAATAAAAATACGAAAAAAAACAACACTTACTTAATTTTTAGCTTTTTTCTTCCGATATCTTTAAATTTAGTTTTTAAAGACAATATATTATTTTGGTAACACTCTCCTTCCGATCTCATACAAATATCGGAATACGTTATGTTTTGTCCTTTCCATTGTATTTTTATGTCCAGAATCTTTTCGTTTAGCATTTGTAATTCATCAAATACGTATTCACGCATCATTGTTCCTCCATCTTTACACGTCGCTATAATACCGTTCATTCCTTTATATGTTGTCATTCGTGTAAAATCAAAGTCTGTAGCATTTTCCGGAAAGAACTTCTCAATTTCTGTTTTAACTTTTAAAGTTCTTCCGTTTGATGGAACAAATAAATATTCAGTATCTCTAATAACTTGTAGTTTCAACAAACCGAAAGCGGACAGAGCAGTGAACACAAACGGTATTATTACAAAATACAATGGATGACGTCCAATCAGCCTTCCAAGGTGACGAAAACTTGAAGATAAATATCGATTAACTGCATAAAATTTCTCTTTGTCACACTGCATGTTTAATGATATTGGTCGGAGAAGTCACTGTCAATATTTATTGCATATCTATAATCAAATATGCATTAATTCTACTTGTTCAATGGTGTATTTGAAAGATTGTGTATTTCAAGACTTCACATTCGTTGACGATTCTGAAAACATTTAAAAACAACTAGAAAAACAAATTGACTATAATTTACTTAAATAACTTATATAGGTTTATATATAAATTGTTACCAATTTTGTGACTACAAAGGTCAGTTGTTCCAATGTACAGTACTGTATTACTATATTGCCTAGTCCTGTATTGCTATTGTGTAGTTCTTTGTTTCGTTGCTCGCTATCGCTTGCACCGTGGGGACAAGCCCACACACCCCCAAAACTTTATGACATCAAATACTTCACGAACAGTTCATTGGACACTTTAAAGTTCTTCATTGTTGCATGGACTAAATATTTATATGGGATAGTCTTAGCGATGCAACTCGTCATAGAGCGCGACCTGATTTAGGAGGCCTGCATCTCGTTAACTGTCTCATGTAGAGGTATAGTTTCTTGGACATTTTTCTTCCTATGTTTACAGTACTGATAAGGTTTCAACCGTCTCGTTCAGAGCTGTAATTGTACCAGGTCATTGCCATAAAAACTCGACAGAATTAAACGCGATAATCAACGAGCTGAGAAATTTGTCCTTGATAAATTATCTAAAACCTGATGAAATGCCAAGTTGGCAGAAATGCCTATAGGCTTTATTCAAATATTACTCCATAGAACACGTCACTAGTCACTTTAATGGTGGCTGTGCTTAACGTTTTCTGTTTCATTACTTTTCGAATAATTGTTTAATCTAAAATTTAGAAATAGGCATCTCTCATGGTTTGGGCGAGATGCCTATTGGATTTAAGGGAGAGATGATGCGTAAATTTTAAGATCACTTTTCGACCAAACCCCATATTTCCCCTCTATTATATATAATCTATAAAAGGACTTCATCACATTCTGTACACTTAATATTTAATATTATGTAAATTAATGGACAGTTCAAACGGAAGAATACACGGGTGATAAAACGTCAAATCCAGCAATTCCTTACAAGTAAAGCGGATGCTATTTACTTGTATTCTATTGCTGGATTTAGAGATGTGCGCTTTGTCATTTGTGGAAATATTTCATGGGTTTTAGTTGTTTGAAATATTTATTACAAAAACCTTATTATAATTACAGATTGAAATTATCAGGTCAGTTTATAAGTTCATGCGTATTTTTATTTACAAAAAAGCAACAAAAAATTTTATATAAATTTTATTTCAATCTATAATGTATTCATCATTATTTTGTACAATTTCTTGCCATCTTGATGGTAGCTTTTTAATCTTGTCTTTTTAAAATGATTTTGGTTTTGAATCAAAATATTCAGAAATAGCCTTTTTTACATTTTTCTCATCCTCAAAAGTTTTCCATTTTAAAAAATTTTGCACACTGCAAAAAAGATGATAATCACTGGGAGCAATATCTGGCGAATATGATGGATGAGGTAAAATTTTCCAGTTGAAGCTTTTGAGTTTCTCTACAGTTATTTTTTGCAGCATGTAGCCTGGCATTGTCATGTTGCAAGAGAACCTGCTTTCTGTTCACTAATGACGGTTGATTTTTTTTCAATTTTTCATTTAAATGCTCTAATTGATCACAATACATTTGAGCTGTAATTGCTTGATTAGGTTCTAACAGCTCAAAGTGAATTACACTTGACATATCCCACCAAACAGAGAAAAGAATTTTTTTTGGATGCAACCCACCTTTTGCAGCCGGTTTTGGCTGCTTGTCGCTATCTGTCCATTGTCTTTTTCTCGTCACATTATTATAGAGGATCCATTTTTCGTCTACAGTAACCAGCCGATCAAGAAAAGGTTCTAAAGTAATGCGGGATAAAAGAGACGTGCAAATGTTTACACGTTGTTGTGGATTAGCTATTGACAGTTCATGTGATATCCACTTTCCTAGCTTTGAAACTTTTCCGATTTGTTGTAGATGTCTATGAACAGGTCCATGGGATGAATTTAAACGTTCTACAATTTCATTAACTGTTAAAGATGATTCTGCTTCAACTAGTGCAGAGAGAGCATTATCATCAAAGTCAATGGGTCTTCCAGTACGAGCCTTATCCTCCACACTAAAATCATTATTTCTAAATCTTTCAAATCACTTCTGCGCAGTCCTTACACTAATTACAGTTTGATTAAGAACAGTATTTAATTTTTTGGCTGCATTTGTAGCATTCTCACCACTTAAAAATAAAAAGTATAAAACATGTCTCTTATATTCGTCTGTTACTTCCATTTTAACGAAAATAAACAAGTGAAATGTTCCCAATTCTGAACAGTATTATATGAATGAGATCCAATTTAACACTTCAGTGTAAAAAGTATCACATTAGACTGAAAATTTTAACAACAAAACACGATTTTTCTCAAGGTCATAAAATACGCATGAACTTATGGACTGACCTGATACAACAAAAACCGGTTTTTCTTAATGAATCAGACTAAATATCATCTCGTCCTTACGTCACAATACCATTTAGCATCATTGTATAAGATTTAAAATGAGTAATTCGAAGTATTTTTTTTATCGTTTCATTTAATCAAATCCATGAAAAGTGTAATACAGTCAAACCTGTCTATAACGGAACCCCAAAGGTTCGAACAACTCTTCCGTAGTAGTCAGGTTTCCGTTATATACAGGTTAATTTACATTACTTTTTGCAAAAAAAAAACTCAAAGGACCGAAGAAATTTTCCTTTAATAACAGATTTTTATAGACAGGTTCGACTGTAATCGCAAAGCATATATTTTATTTCCTTATATCTTGCGTTAATAAAATAAGTTAAAATAATTACGTGTACTTTATCATGGTTACATTTATAATTATATAGGCCTATATAATCGTATCTATGATTTACCTTTACATGATAAAGTTGGTTATGTAAGAGAGAGGAGGGAAAAAAAACTGCGGTAGTCAAAACAAACGGATCAGAGGGAATGTTGGCCCGAGCGCTCGATAATAGGCGATCTGGGTTAAAAATGTTTCGTAAATTATATTAAAAATTCTAATACCTAATGATGTAAATCTGTACATTTTATATAAATAATGTAGCCTATTGTACTTTCAAAGACATCGCAATAGAAATTCTTCAACTAAACACGAACAAAACATATTTTATAGTTTTCCTCCGATAAAGAAATTCTTTCAATAAAAAAGACCGATGCTTTAAAAAATCAAGCAACGAATTGCTTAGAAATTATTTTATTTAAAAACTCGTTATATTTCTATTATAAAATAGAAAAAAAAGATTAATTTTGAATGCAGGGATGAGTTTTATAAAACATTGTAAGTGTTAATACCATTAAAATCGTCATTATCTTCCCATCCTCTCGGTGATTAAAGTAAAATTAACCAAAAAATTATTAATTACTTAAGTTGTATTAACTTACGAATCAAACTGTAATTCGTCCTCGTTAAACAGC